TTCCTCCGGGCAGTGCAGAGTTTTTGCGTCGCGAATAAAGACGTTAGCACAGAGCTCCGGCGCGGTGTTTGTGATTCGAGTGCGCGTCCTGCTTCAGCAGTTTTCTGTTGTGGTTGACTCACCTGATGACGATTGCTTGTGTTGCGATCGAAACGTCGTGATCTATTATTTTTTCTACCGACGTGACTTTACCGAAAGAACCAAAGAGTATCGATTGTGCGTATTCGCGCGGCCGCGTCAGACCGAGTCTCAGCGCGGGTGCGGGGTAGCGAATAACCACCCACCGGCGCGCGTATTCGCGGGGCGCGCACATATCCTAATATATAATAGCCCAGATCTGTCATTGTTTATTTCATTCTGTGCCTGTGATTAACGCGGCACGGATTGGTTTAAGTGTGTCACGTGACCGCAAGCAACCAGCCAAGCAGAGGTGAGCCCCTCCCAAACATGTACGCCCCCCGATTGGTTGAAGTGCGTCACGTGACCGCGAGCAATAGACGGGTGTGTGAGAGTGAGGAGAAGGGTGAGTGACAGTGAGGAGACGGCTGAGTGAGAGTGAGGCAGAGCCGTGCTCCGTCCACTGCTGCCCTGAGGGACCCCCCTGCTCTCCACTTCTGGCTTGGTGTGTGTGTGTGGTGTGTGTGGTGTGTGTGTGTGTGTGTGGCAAAAACAACCCCCTACCTCCTCGCAGTGCCGGATGGGCAACACTGTAGTGGACAGTGCTGTGGGGTGAGGGCCAATGCCCATTGGCCTCTCCCCTCATGGCGTCTGTGACCACCACAGTGGCTAAACGGGGGCTCTGGACGGGTGCGAGGGACTGGTAACCCCTCCACCTTCAATTCATTACCACTAAACCACGACTTAAATATGTAACTAATAAGCTTGTGCCGGAAGCCCCGGTGAGACAGGCGTCTATGACGTCTCCTGGCCAAACCCCAATTGGCGGTGCCAGGAGATTGAATCTTTACCCTCGGGGCTCCTCCAGAAACAACGAAAAACCACTTCGTGTGGCCACGTGGAATGTTTGAACGCTCACTGCGGAGGAAAGGCTGCCACTCCTTTGTTGGGAGCTGGACCGGTACCGCCTGGATCTCTGTGGCATTCAGGAGGTCCGGTGGACCGGTTCTGGCTCCTGCCACCATGAGGGGTGGACAGTCCTCTACTCGGGGCAGGAGACTGCCAAACAACAGAGTGTAGTTCTTCTTCTGAACAAATGAATGAAGGGGGCGTGGGAGCGTGGGGGTGAGGTGTGGGAAGCTGTAAGCCCCAGGATACTTTGGGCTCGCCTTCCCATCAACCAGAGGCGAGGAGTGGTGGTCGTGGTAACTTATGCCCCCACCGAAGACGAACATCCGTGGAGGGATGCAGGCAAAGCCGATGAGTCATATGCCTTCTATGACCTCCTGTCACAGGTCCTGGCTAAAGTGGCCACTCAGAGTCATCCTGTTGGGTGACTTCAATGCCCGAGTTGGTCATGACGCTGGCACCTGGTCTGGAGTGATTGGAGGGCATGGGCCAGATCAGCTCAATAACAACGGTAGGAGGCTGCTAGATTTTTGTGCAGCCCATGGGCTTGTAATTATCAACACGCTCTTCCGGCATCGGCGCATCCACACAACATCATGGATGCATGCCGGGTCCAAGCAAGAACATCTGCTGGACTACATAGTGACGGACCAGCAGATGCGAGCCCATGTCCTTGACACCAGGACCTACCGTGGAGCTGATCTGCCCTCTGACCATCGACTAGTCATCTGTAAGATGCGCCTGCCATTCTTCCACTCCGGTGGTGGGTGTACACCCAGGACCTCATTCCAACCTAAAGTGGCCTGGTCTCAGCTGATGAAAGTTGCAAGCGAGAATTTCATCATCGCTTGCAGCTGGGGTTGGCATCGTCCCCCACTCCTCCTGATGTCGAGGGTAAATGGGCGAGGTTTAGGACTGTGACTCATGCAGCGAGCTACAGCAACAACGCTCACTACAATCAAGGATACGAGATGGAGACAAGTTGTGAAACACGACTCCAGTCTTGGACCGTAAATAAGCGGTGTCGTCGTGGTGGTGGAGGAGGCTGCAGCGAGCAGCGAAGCGTGGCAGCTGATTGTCAACTCCGCGTGCCGACCGCTCTCCGTCAGCCACGATGCCGGCGGCTTTCAGCTGAATCAGGGAGAGATTGGGGGGCACGTTGGTTCATCACGTGACAACTTTATTCATTCGGTCTGTGTCGAGTGGAGGAGGGTTTACGACGCAATTTACTTTCGCGTTGTGATCAAATAAATTACGAACGCAATATGCCCCCTTCACAAATCTGTTTCTCGACTAGACCCATATCAGAGGGAGCCCTGCGCCTTTAGACATTTGCCAGTTCAACAGCATGGGGTTCGACAGCGAGCCTGACTGCTGATGAGACACTGCATGTCGAAACCAGTTGAGGATTTGCTTGTCTTGTTGTTGAACCAAAGCCTGGTGAGATGATGTACCCCCAGAAGGCCGTGAGGCTGATGGGATGAGTAGAAATATACCGCACACATCGCACATTGCACATCACACATCGCACGTGGTGGAGTGCGAGGCTCGTGGAGGAGGCGAATCGCCCGCCTGCTCCGTGGAGGCAGCTGCGAGGAGGGTTCGTGGAGCTCCCGCACCCACCGGACGACGACATCGCCACCTGCTGCCTTGCCACGGTATGGCAGTACAGGGCACTTCATTTATTGACGTCTCTATGACAATCCCCTGTTACCACCACCGAGTACGCGTGGGGCGTATCCAGGTATCCCGGTGTCCTCGCACATATAGAACACTCGTCAGCAATGGAGCTGATCAGCCGTCCTCAGGTGAAGAAACAGAGCTGTCGGAAAGACAGCGCTCCAATGAACACTGCTCAGCTCGGCAGCGCATTCTGCTCCTCCCACGCAGCTTAGATACGTTACTAAGCTGAGCGGTGTTCATTGGAGCGCTGTCTTTCCGACAGCTCTGTTTCTTCACCTGAGGACGGCTGCTTGTGTTGTGGCCGAACGTCGTGAAAATATAATAATGTTTTATTTTTATTATTTCATTATTTCCCTTCTACCAATAAGTTGAATCACTACCTATCAGATCTTCACTAAAAACTGCTCTAGAGGAGTTGTACACCCTAGCTGCCACTGCTATTCAGTGGCCTAAAATAAAATAAAATGGTTCGCTCCGGATGACCGCTGCAAAGTATGATCTGTGTTGTGATTTAGTGTGTTGATCTTAAAGGTGCATTGACAAATGTTGATACTCCGACTGATGCTCCTGCTGTTGTCGAGTGACTCATGCAGCCAGCTATGGCTGCAGAGTTTGGTAGTACATGTTGTTTATCTCGTTTATTGTGAAAATTCGGTCACAGTTCCTATGATCACGATTTCATTGCTTTTATGGCTTTATTTTGGTGATTTCGAAAACGTTTTTTGGTTTGGCCATGTTTGTTTGTTGGAGTACGGAGTTAAACTGATGGCCTTAATCTAAGTTGTCTTGTGGTTGTTGTTGTTTGACTTGCATCCCACTGGGATTTTTGCACACAGTGTTGGTGTACGGTGCTTTTTCTGAAATATGTTGCTGTCTTTTCTGTTTGCACTCAGTCACATAGTCACTTTAAGATGTTTTACTGGTAGGAACCTCCTGGTTACACCAGCCCACAGGGGATGATTGTGTCCGTCGTGCAGGGAGGGGCTGGGTGGGGAGGGGCTGGGTCGGGAGGGTGGGGCTGGGTGTTGAGGCGAGGATGGGGAGGGGCTGGGTGGGGAGGGTGGGGAGGGGCTGGATGGGGGGTGGGAGGGGTGGGGCTGGGTGGGGAGGGGCTGGTCACCCCGTGGTGCCCTTATAAAACTCAACGTTTAACCTACTCACGCCGGCTTGTGCCCGCCCTCACAGTCGGCCATATTTGCGGAATACACCACGCCGCCGTTGACCCTGGCCATTGACCGAGCAACCCAACGTTCCTACCAGCTCCCTCCGCAGGAATGTGTTCTTATTCATGTTTTTGTTTTATGTTTGTTGCGGTTGCACCCGATTCAAGAGCCGAATGGCTCACAGGGCTTGTACCTAATACATGAAACTGAAACTGACAAGTGAGTGGCGCAGTCGTGACTGTCTCGCCTCACAGCCAGAAGGGAGCGGGTTCAATCCCCACCGCGGGTGCCTCTCTATGTAGATGTAACATGTAGATGTGACATGTAGATGTGACATGTAGATGTGACATGTAGATGTGACATGTAGATGTGACATGTAGATGTGACAAGTAGATGTGACAAGTAGATGTGACATGTCGATGTGACATGTAGATGTGACATGTAGATGTGACATGTAGATGTAACAAGTAGATGTGACAAGTAGATGTGACATGTAGATGTGACATGTAGATGTGACATGTAGATGTGACATGTAGATGTGACAAGTAGATGTGACAAGTAGATGTGACATGTAGATGTGACAAGTAGATGTGACATGTCGATGTGACATGTAGATGTGACAAGTAGATGTGACAAGTAGATGTGACATGTCGATGTGACATGTAGATGTGACATGTAGATGTGACATGTAGATGTAACATGTAGATGTGACATGTAGATGTGACAAGTAGATGTGACATGTAGATGTGACAAGTAGATGTGACAAGTAGATGTGACATGTCGATGTGACATGTAGATGTGACAAGTAGATGTGACAAGTAGATGTGACATGTAGATGTGACAAGTAGATGTGACATGTCGATGTGACATGTAGATGTGACAAGTAGATGTGACAAGTAGATGTGACATGTAGATGTGACATGTAGATGTGACATGTAGATGTGACATGTAGATGTGACAAGTAGATGTGACAAGTAGATGTGACATGTCGATGTGACATGTAGATGTGACATGTAGATGTGACATGTAGATGTGACAAGTAGATGTGACATGTCGATGTGACAAGTAGATGTGACAAGTAGATGTGACAAGTAGATGTGACATGTCGATGTGACATGTAGATGTGACATGTCGATGTGACATGTAGATGTGACAAGTAGATGTGACAAGTAGATGTGACATGTCGATGTGACATGTAGATGTAACATGTAGATGTGACATGTAGATGTGACATGTAGATGTGACAAGTAGATGTGACATGTAGTAGGGCTTTCGCGACCATGATTATGATTCATGACAATTAAAACATTCTCCGAGGCCCCGTCCTGAGTGTAGCATGGCCCGGGCTGCTGCCAAGGCGGGAATCGTCTTCGCCAAAGTTCGCTGCTCCAGCCGCCACTCCTCACTGATCGCCTCGATCACCATCCCAGCAGCTCTGAAGTTTGTCTCGCGAGGATCATTTAGTCTTCTCTGCCTACAGGTGGAGGCGTTTTGGCAGGCGGCCGAAATTCTCAAAATTCCACCGCGGTATTAAACATTCCTGCTGCTGCTCCAGTCACGCTGCCTGCTGCTGCTGCTCCCGCGTGAAGGTCTCCTGCTGCTGCTGCTCCAGCCACGCTGCCTGCTGCTGCCTGCTGCTGCTCCCGCGTGAAGGTCCCCTGCTCTCGGAGACGCGTCGCCCGCGCCGTCTTCACAGCGCGGGCGCTGCCCGCAACCTCCGCAGTTCCCCGCGCGCAGTCCGCTTCACGGTGGACGCCACGGAGCCCCTGGCGCCATTCGCAAGAGGAGGCGACTGAGTGGCCGGCGTCACGATCCAAATTCTAAAGTTACACCGCAAATGACTCAATCGCGATTAGAAACACTCAGCGGCAGCAGACTGACGCCCCGTGTTACGCTCGCAGCAGCCTGCAGTCGAGTTCCCGTCTGCTCACCAGAATCGATGAACCGTGACTGCGAGAGGCTGCGGCTTCTCTGGGCTGCACGGTACACGCGGGGAACAGCAGGTGGCAGCGGACAACCAGAAAAGCGCATTGACCAACGCGCGTTCTCATCTGTCCCACGCGTAACTGCGCTCCAGTGATTGAACCCGACGCTCCAGTGATTGAACCCGACGCTCCAGTGTTGTAGGGAACCGGATACCGACCCGTGGCTTTGGTGGCAGCCTCCGAGTTTGTGATGCTCTCGCGATGTGGGTGCAAGTCCCTGGAGACTCGCACAATTGTTGGATGTTAACGCTGCGCGTAGTCTACGCTGTCGCAATAACATCCAATAGTTGACATTGTCGCGGTGCAACTGGCGTGGTGTGGCGCATGGCACACCGAGGCTACAGTCCGCACAGAGGTCTCTGGTCTAATTCAATCTCCCGGCTCGGCAACTGAAACATTGAGGCAGGTTTCCTAACCCCCCGCTCGCTCTCTCCACCCAACAGCAGAGGTGGATTGTTAAACGATCACCGCCAAAACCGGTAACCGGTTTTAGAATCAATCGCAGGTTTCTTAGTCACGGGGTACAGGTACAACCCATGCAATTGCCTTGCTCACGCCACGTTTGATGGGAGGGCCCCTCGTTAGATGCCGCTCCGGAGGTGTATTTGGTCTACTCTTCCACGACGTCTTGGAAGAAGAGGCTCCCTACGTCGCGTCGCCCTCCAGGGCCTCTCGTGAGGACACGGGGAGGAGCGCCTCGTCCCACCAGCGGGAGCATCGCGAGTGTGAGGGTTGTGAGGGTTGTGAGTGTGGTGAGTGTGAGGGCTGTGAGGGTTGTGAGTGTGAGGGTTGTGAGTGTGGTGAGTGTGAGGGCTGTGAGTGTTGTGAGTGTGAGGGTTGTGAGTGTTGTGAGTGTGAGGGTTGTGAGTGTGAGGGCTGTGAGGGTTGTGAGTGTTGTGAGTGTGAGGGCTGTGAGTGTGGTGAGTGTGAGGGCTGTGAGGGTTGTGAGTGTGAGGGTTGTGAGTGTGGTGAGTGTGAGAGCTGTGAGGTTGTGAGTGTGAGGGCTGTGAGTGTGGTGAGTATGAGAGCTGTGAGGTTGTGAGTGTGAGGGCTGTGAGTGTGGTGAGTGTGAGGGCTGTGAGTGTTGTGAGTGTGAGGGTTGTGAGTGTTGTGAGTGTGAGGGCTGTGAGGGTTGTGAGTGTGAGGGTTGTGAGTGTGGTGAGTGTGAGGGCTGTGAGGGTTGTGAGTGTGAGGGCTGTGAGTGTTGTGAGTGTGAGGGTTGTGAGTGTTGTGAGTGTGAGGGTTGTGAGTGTTGTGAGTGTGAGGGTTGTGAGTGTTGTGAGTGTGAGGGTTGTGAGTGTGGTGAGTGTGAGGGTTGTGAGTGTGGTGAGTGTGAGGGTTGTGAGTGTGGTGAGTGTGAGGGCTGTGAGTGTTGTGAGTGTGAGGGTTGTGAGTGTTGTGAGTGTGAGAGCTGTGAGGGTTGTGAGTGTGAGGGTTGTGAGTGTGGTGAGGGCTGTGAGGGTTGTGAGTGTGAGGGTTGTGAGTGTTGTGAGTGTGAGGGTTGTGAGTGTTGTGAGTGTGAGGGTTGTGAGTGTTGTGAGTGTGAGGGCTGTGAGTGTTGTGAGTGTGAGGTTTGTGAGTGTGAGGGCTGTGAGGGTTGTGAGTGTGAGGGCTGTGAGTGTTGTGAGTGTGAGGGTTGTGAGTGTTGTGAGTGTGAGGGTTGTGAGTGTGAGGGCTGTGAGGGTTGTGAGTGTTGTGAGTGTGAGTGTTGTGAGTGTGAGTGTTGTGAGTGTGAGTGTTGTGAGTGTTATGAGGGTTGTGAGTGTGAGTGTTGTGAGTGTGGTGAGTGTGGTGAGTGTGAGGGCTGTGAGTGTTGTGAGTGTGAGGGTTGTGAGTGTGAGTGTGAGGGTTGTGAGTGTTGTGAGTGTGAGGGTTGTGAGTGTGAGTGTTGCGAGTGTGAGGGTTGTGAGTGTGAGTGTTGTGAGTGTGAGGGCTGTGAGTGTGAGGGCTGTGAGTGTGAGTGTGAGGGTTGTGAGTGTTGTGAGTGTGAGGGCTGTGAGGGTTGTGAGTGTTGTGAGTGTGAGGGTTGTGAGTGTGAGTGTTGCGAGTGTGAGGGTTGTGAGTGTGAGTGTTGTGAGTGTGAGGGTTGTGAGTGTAAGGGCTGTGAGTGTGAGGGTTGTGAGTGTAAGGGCTGTGAGTGTGAGGGCTGTGAGTGTTGTGAGTGTAAGGGCTGTGAGTGTGAGTGTTGTGAGTGTGAGGGTTGTGAGTGTGAGGGTTGTGAGTGTTGTGAGTGTGAGGGCTGTGAGGGTTGTGAGTGTTGTGAGTGTGAGGGTTGTGAGTGTGAGTGTTGCGAGTGTGAGGGTTGTGAGTGTGAGTGTTGTGAGTGTGATGGTTGTGAGTGTAAGGGCTGTGAGTGTGAGGGTTGTGAGTGTGAGGGTGGTGAGTGTGAGTGTTGTGAGTGTGGTGAGGGTTGTGAGTGTGAGGGTTGTGAGTGTGGTGAGGGTTGTGAGTGTGAGGGTTGTGAGTGTGAGGGTTGTGAGTGTGAGGGTGGTGAGTGTGAGGGTGGTGAGGGTGGTGAGGGTTGTGAGTGTGAGGGTTGTGAGTGTGGTGAGGGTTGTGAGTGTGAGGGTTGTGAGGGTGGTGAGGGTTGTGAGTGTGAGGATTGTGAGTGTGGTGAGGGTTGTGAGTGTGAGGGTGGTGAGGGTTGTGAGTGTGAGGGTTGTGAGTGTGGTGAGGGTTGTGAGTGTGAGGGTTGTGAGTGTGGTGAGGGTTGTGAGTGTGAGGGTTGTGAGTGTGGTGAGGGTTGTGAGTGTGAGGGTGGTGAGGGTGGTGAGGGTTGTGAGTGTGAGGGTGGTGAGTGTTGTGAGTGTGAGGGTGGTGAGGGTGGTGAGTGTTGTGAGTGTGAGGGTGGTGAGGGTGGTGAGGGTTGTGAGTGAGAGGGTGGTGAGGGTTGTGAGTGTGAGGGTGGTGAGGGTGGTGAGTGTTGTGAGTGTGAGGGTGGTGAGTGTTGTGAGTGTAAGGGTGGTGAGTGTTGTGTGAGGGTGGTGAGGGTGGTGAGTGTTGTGAGTGTGAGGGTGGTGAGGGTTGCGAGTGTTGTGAGTGTGAGGGTTGTGAGTGTGAGGGTGGTGAGGGTGGTGAGGGTTGTGAGTGTGAGGGTGGTGAGGGTGGTGAGGGTTGTGAGTGTGAGGGTGGTGAGGGTGGTGAGTGTTGTGAGTGTGAGGGTGGTGAGGGTGGTGAGGGTTGTGAGTGTGAGGGTGGTGAGGGTGGTGAGTGTTGTGAGTGTGAGGGTTGTGAGTGAGAGGGTGGTGAGTGTTGTGAGTGTGAGGGTGGTGAATGTTGTGAGTGTGTGGGTGGTGAGGGTGGTGAGGGTTGTGAGTGTGAGGGTGGTGAGGGTGGTGAGGGTTGTGAGTGTGAGGGTGGTGAGGGTGGTGAGTGTTGTGAGTGTGAGGGTGGTGAGGGTTGTGAGTGTGAGGGTGGTGAGGGTGGTGAGTGTTGTGAGTGTGAGGGTGGTGAGTGTTGTGAGTGTGAGGGGGGTGAGGGTGGTGAGGGTTGTGAGTGTGAGGGTGGTGAGTGTTGTGAGTGTGAGGGTGGTGAGGATGGTGAGGGTTGTGAGTGTGAGAGTGGTGAGGGTGGTGAGGGTTGTGAGTGTTGTGAGTGTGAGGGTGGTGAGTGTTGTGAGTGTGAGGGTGGTTAGGGTGGTGAGTGTTGTGAGTGTGAGGGTGGTGAGGGTGGTGAGTGTTGTGAGTGTGAGGGTGGTGAGGGTTGTGAGTGTGAGGGTGGTGAGTGTTGTGAGTGTGAGGGTGGTGAGGGTGGTGAGGGTTGTGAGTGTGAGGGTGGTGAGGGTGGTGAGGGTTGTGAGTGAGAGGGTGGTGAGGGTTGTGAGTGAGAGGGTGGTGAGGGTGGTGAGTGTTGTGAGTGTGAGGGTGGTGAGGATGGTGAGGGTTGTGAGTGAGAGGCTGCCTTGTTGGGGCTCTCGGGGGCGCGGGGGACTGAGCCCTCGGGGAGGGTCCCCAGCCTCCTCCCTCGCCTCCTCCCCCTCCAGCAGCCGCAGCAGCAGGAGGAGGAGCCCGTGGAGGAGAGTTGGAGCCGATTTAGGCAGCGGCGACGGCTGGAGACGCGCGCGTCCCCCGTGCAGGTGCCGCTGGGGTCGTTGGACGGTCGCCGGGTCCTGAGTCGGACACCGCTCACGCCGACCCAGCGCCAGTGCTGCCCCGGCGGGGAGTCTCGGCCCCGACGCCGCCTCGGTGGCCCCTCTCCCGGTGGCCCCTCTCCCGGTGGCCCCTCTCCCGGTGGCCTCTCTCTCCCCGCGATGCGCTCCGCGCTCTCCGCTCAGCTCCTGCTGCTGCTGGTGGCGGTGGGGCCGGCGGGGGCGGTGGGGCCGGCGGGGGCCGCGCTGCCGCGCCTCGACCTCTCGCGTTCAGGTGAGCGGCGTCGGCAGCACGCACACACAGACAAAGGCCCCCCGTGTAGCTACACAGACTGTTGGGGAAAGTGCTGTGAGCGATCACTTAACAAGGCTGGAACGGCACACGAGGGGGTGGGTGGTCAACCCCATGCTTGGCCGCCTTTGTCTCCCCAGTCACTCGCACAGTGGTGGAATGTGATAGAGAGTGGGGGAGTGGTGAAGTGTGGTGATGTGGTGGAGTGCGGCGGAGTTTGTTGGAGTGGTCGAGTTTGGTGAGGTGGTTGAGTGTGGTGAGGTGGTGGAGTGTGGTGAGGTGGTGGAGTTTGGTGGAGTGTGGTGGAGTTTGGTGGAGTGTGGTGGAGTGGTTGAGTGTGGTGAGGTGGTGGAGTATGGTGAAGTGTGGTGAGGTGGTGGAGTTTTTTGGAGTGTGGTGAGGTGGTGGAGTGTGGTGGAGTGTGGTGAAGTGGTGGAGTGTGGTGGAGTGTGGTGAGGTGGTGGAGTGTGGTGAGGTGGTGGAGTGTGGTGAGGAGGTGGAGTTTTTTGGAGTGTGGTGAGGTGGTGGAGTGTGGTGGAGTGTGGTGAGGTGGTGGAGTTTTTTGGAGTGTGGTGAGGTGGTGGAGTGTGGTGGAGTGTGGTGGAGTGTGGTGAGGTGGTGGAGTGTGGAGTGTGGTGGAGTAGTGGAGTGTGGTGAGTGTGGTGGAATGTGGTGGAGTGTGGAGTGTAGTGAGGTGGTGTCACAACGCACACAGAGGTGTTGCAGCATCGTTGCGTGGACAAAATCTCTCCTCAGCCTTGGCCAGACCACCATCTCAGCAGAACTGAACGTGTGGCCATGTGGTCGTTTCGAACTCAGTGAGTGTGTCCGTCCCAACAGCAGAGGCACAGCGAGCAGCACGCGGCTGGGCCCCGCTCCGCACGCATCGCCCGGGTCTGTGGGTGGAGCAGGGAGTGGGGGGAGCAGAAAGTTTATTTGTTGAACTCTTTTGCACTGTACGAAGCCAACCGTGTTTATCGGAGTGGGGGGGGCACGAAAGATCCCCCCAGTGGGGGCCCTTCTGCTGCCTGCAGGGGCGTGGGCAAGCAATTTCAGAGCCGCGCTTTTCCACCTTCTGAGGTTGATGTCGCAGCTTGGGGAGCGAGCGACGAGACGCAGCCCCGGCCCCCCCCCGCCCGCGTCGCGAGGTTCGACCTTCCCCAGAGGCGGCCGTCTTCGTTCAGGGGATGGTCTCAGCCGCTCGCTCCACCATCACGGCCAGGGAGGGCACCAGCCCCACGCTGGCGCTGCTGGCGTCACGGAGGAATGTGGCCCCGCGTTTAGACGGAGGGCTTCGTGCACTCCGCGACCAGAGGGGTGGCGGGGGACAGCCACCATCCAGCAGGAGTAGTACTGTAGTCAGAGGCGTCTCAAGGGTACGGCAAGTCGGGAAGACCGCCCCGGGCCCCGTGCTTTGGGGGGCATCGCGCCAACGACGTCAGGGTGTTCGGTATCATCGTTCCGGTTTGGTTTGAAGGCGTCGGAGGCCGCGGTGGGGTTTGCCCCGGGCCCCGCACCCCCAGTGGACAGCCCAGACTGTCGGAGCACGAGTTGACGTATCGCCCTGGGGTCTGCTGCCAGCGCGAGGGCATCTCTGTGTGTCGCATTTGTATTCTCTCTCCCCACTCACGTTCAGCGTGTTTCCTCTGGGTTCTCCGGGTTGCTCCCAAAGCTCGAGACAACCCAACCGCGCACTGTAACCGGTGTGGACCAAACACCACCCCCCAATGCTGAAACATCGCCTGACGCTCACCTGTGAATCACTCACTCGGGATCTCACGCAGCAGCCGCATCGCCCCCTCCCCAAGGTCACCCGGGTGTGTCACGTGACCTCCTGCTGCTGTATTTGAATGTTCTTTTAAGCGCCTATGGTCGACCGCAGTGCGAGAGTTGGGGTCAGCTGAGCCACTGAGTGACGACGCCTTGCGCGCGTCTGCAGGGAGGCGCGTGTCTGTGACTGTCCCCACCAGAACTTGGCGACCGCTTCTGGAAGGGGGAGGGGGGCTCCCATCGAGCCCCCCCCCCCGCCCCTTCATGGCTCGCCTCGCAGCGTTATCCTCGTCACGCGGCCACTGCGTCGGCGACAGCTCCCGCGGGGTGTCCCCAACTCCAGTTCTCGTGACCCCCCACCCCCACGCGTTTACCAATTCACTGCTGCCCATTCAAATTCACATTAACTCGTTCCACGCGCACGATGATTGGTCCAACACGTCCCACGTGACGCGCCAAGCGATGAACGCTATCTGCGTTAAGAGAGCCGATTCCACCACAGATTGATATCTCGGTGTGCGTGCGCGCGCACGTGGTCCACCTGATCTATACACACGCACTGAGTGTGCACGTGCAGCATGTGACGCGGAGAGAGCGTGTCACGTGGGACGTGTTGAACAAGCATCGGGCGCATCATCGATTGGTGTGCGCCTGACGGTTTGCGCCTCACCGCATTCGCCCTCCGCTGAGCTCATTGGTCGCTGAGCTCATTGGTCGATGAGCTCATTGGTCGCCTCAATTATATCGGAAAGGTCTCCGCGCCACCTCCCACGCAGCAGCAGCAGCGTCGCTGTGAGCGGTGCCCAGTGGGAGCGGTGCCCAGTGGCCAGTGTCACCGGGCAGCAGAGAGACCCAGGGGCTGCTCCTTCGTTCGCGTTTTAGCCTCCTCTGGAATGTTTCAAGTTCAAGTTTATTTATTAGGTATAGCCCTATGAGCCATTCGGCTCTTGAATTGGGTGCAACCGCAACAAACAAAAACATGAACAAGAATACATCTTAAAGTGACTATGTGCAAACAGAAAATCCAAGAAAAGACAGCAAAATATTGCAGAAAAAGCACCGTACACCAACACTGTGTGAAAAAATCCCAGTGGGATGCAAGTCAAACAACAACAACCACAAGACAACTTAGATTAAGGCCATCAGTCTAACTGTGTACTACAACAAACAAACATGGCCAAACCAAAAAACTTTTCTAAAATCAGCAAAATAAAGCCATAAAAGCAATGAAACAGTGGTCATAGGAACTGTGACCGAATTTTCACAATAAACGACGTGAACAACATCTACTACCAAACCCTGCAGCCATAGCTGGCTGCATGAGTCACTCCACAGCAGCAGGAGCATCAGTCGGAGTATCAACATTTTTCAATGCACCTTTAAGATCAGCACACTAAATCAAAACACAGATCATACTTTGCAGCGATCATCCGGAACGAAACATTGTATTTTAGGCCACTAAATTGCAGTGGCAGCTAGGGGTGTACAACTCCTCTCGAGCAGTTTTGAGTGAAGATCTCATAGGTAGTGATTCAAGTTGCAGTTTATTGGCAATAGCATTCCAGACCCTGGGGGCATCAATAGCAAAGGCCCTTCCTCCAGTATTTGTACGGCAATAGGGAATGTGAAGCTGGTAAATGAGCGAAGACCTTAGGTCAAATTTGTTTTTTAAAACAGAGAGGAGATCCAGCAGGTAATGTGCGGATTTTTTTGTAAGTACATCATGAATAAATAAGATCTGATGCACAAGCCGTCGAACATTGAGAGATGTTAAGTTTGACCCAATGTAGAGATCGCAGTGGTGAGTCCTATATGGGCAGTTCAATGCAAATCTTAGGCCGAGTGATACATTGAGTCAAGCTTCTTCAGTACAGTACCTGGGGCTGATTTATACACGATGTCACAGTAATCAAGTAGAGGCAGTATGGTAGCTTTTATCAATTCCAAACGGAACATAGGGGGGAAGCAGTGCTTGTGTCGATACAGAAAACCAATTTTTATTTTTGTCTTTTTACCAATATAATCAATGTGATCTTCAAATTTCAGTTTTGAATCAAGAAAGACCCCAAGATACTTATAGATCTTCACTTGCTCTATTTGATAATTATTTAAGGAATGTAATTGGGTAAAAATAACTTCCTGCTTTAGTCCTGGTGAGAAGCATAGCACCTTGGTTTTGGAGGTATTCAGGACTAGTTTAAGAGCAACTAGCTGATGTTGTAGTTTGTTGAAATCACCCTGGAGCTTAGCAATCATCCGGAGAGCGGCCAGCAGTAATCAGTATCGTGTCATCTGCAAAAAGATTTACCCTGGAATGATCCAGGTCAGTGCCCAAGTCATTGACATAAAGAGAGAACAAGAATGTGAAGTCCGCGGAATGCGCGCTTCGTGATGGTTGGTGGTGGTCGTGGTGGTGATGATGATAGTGGTGATGATGATGGTGGTGATGATGGTGGTGATGATGATGGTGGTGATGATGGTGGTGATAGTGGTGATGATGATGATGGTGGTGATGGTGGTGGTGGTGATGATGGTGGTGATGGTGGTGATGATGGTGGTGATGGTGGTGATGATGATGATGGTGGTGGTGATGGTGGTGGTGATGATGGTGGTGATGGTGGTGATGATGGTGGTGATGGTGGTGATGATGATGATGGTGGTGATGGTGGTGATGGTGGTGGTGATGCTGGTTGTGATGGTGGTGGTGATGATGGTGGTGATGGTGGTGATGATAGCCACGCAGCCGGTAACCTACCGCGGGCTCGCGTGGCGCTACAAATCGGACGCGCTATCATCGTCATCATCGTCGTCGCCGTTATCACCGAGATCGCATCTCGTGCTGCTGCTGCTGCTGCACGCACGAGTCGCGGCGAGGAATGCCGCGCGCCACACGCAAGGTGCTGCTGCTGCTCCTGCTGCTGCTCCTGCTGCTGCTGCTCTTCTTGGTATTCATTTCCCTTCCGGCCGCGATGCTCGAGCGATTATCATCTCTGCGCTCGGGTGCCAGGGGGACGGGAGGCGCGGTCGGGTCGGGCAGAGAGACGAATCGACTCGGCCTGCACCTGCAGGGTCACTGCGCACGCCTCTTGCCGCGTGGCAAAACACAATGCCGGGCGCTGCCTCTCCCGTGGCGTCGGCTCGCCACCGGAGAGGCAGATCTCTCCGTGTCTCGTTCCCGACAGCGCTGGTCCATGCACGAGACTTGCCGCCTGTATCCGGGTGGCAGGAGGTGATTTGTGCCAAGGTGTCGGACGGGTATTGGCGTTGAACTTGGTTCCAGTAAACCGCGCTGCAGCTTCGACGCGAGCCCGAGTGGCGGCTGAGCGATGTGTCCTGCGGGCTGAGCGATGTGTCCTGTGGGCTGAGCGATGTGTCCTGCGGGCTGAGCGATGTGTCCTGCGGGCTGAGCGATGTGTCCTGCGGGCTGAGCGATGTGTCCTGTGGGCTGAGCGATGTGTCCTGCGGGCTGAGCGATGTGTCCTGCGGGCTGAGCGATGTGTCCTGTGGGCTGAGCGATGTGTCCTGCAGGCTGAGCGATGTGTCCTGCAGGCCGAGCGATGTGTCCTGCGGGCTGAGCGATGTGTCCTGTGGGCTGAGCGATGTGTCCTGTGGGCTGAGCGATGTGTCCTGCAGGCCGAGCGATGTGTCCTGCGGGCTGAGCGATGTGTCCTGTGGGCTGAGCGATGTGTCCTGTGGGCTGAGCGATGTGTCCTGCAGGCTGAGCGATGTGTCCTGCGGGCTGAGCGATGTGTCCTGCGGGCTCTGGCCAGGACGCTGGGGACGGTGGCGACCCTCGGGGGGGACTCGGTGGAGGTGTCCCCCCCCCCCCCCCCCCGTGCGGTCTGTGCACCGCACGTCGTGAACGTTGTCGCCGTGTTTGTCTGCGGGTTTGCCGCCGCCCCCCGCCCCTTCCCGCCCCTCCCTGCGAGAGGAGTTTTCGCCTCGTGTCGGTGCGCGACTCGCGTCGCGGTCCGGCTCCTCCGCCGCCTCCTCCTCCTCCTCTTGCCGCCGCCTCCTCCTCTCGCTGCTGTTGGCTGTGGACGCGGTTCTGGTTGTTGTCGTTGTTTTCGTGTTTCCGTTATCGGCGATCGCGTTGAGTTCACCCGCCCCGGCAGAAAGTTCGCACCGATGGAGCTGTAAAGCTAGAGACAAAGCTCCCCCGTATAGCCTTGGCAGACTGCTGGGGGCAAGTGATTGTTAGCGAGTACCGCCCGACCGCCTTTGTCTTCCTAGTGGCAATGTTTACAAGCAGAGTTGATCTCGACGATGTTCAGGAGCGGTTCCGATACTCGTCGCTGGCGAGTGGTATAAGCGCCCTCGAGGCTGACGAGCCGCTGTGTCTGTGTCGATGTCACAGATACAGTGGCCAGGAGCCGTGTCACCATTTGAACCGAGTTGCTGAGCGCAGGGCCCAAGCGGCCAGCAACAAGCAGCACTCTTCAAGTTGTAGTAGATAGGAGTGTAACGCGCGTCTGAAATTGAGCAAGATTCTTGTCATCACTTGCCAATAGAGGCGACGGTGGGAGGAGAGAATTCAAATTTGGAGCAGCGAGGGGTGACCTGCAGTGTGGTGGGTGAGGTAGTGCCTGCGTGAGTTGAGTGGGCGAGTGAGAGCATATCTGATGGACCGAGTCCTCAATAGGGGTGGAGCAGGAGGGATGAGTGAGTGAGATGTCACGGGCCACGCCATGGTCGTCCCAACATGCACGGCTCGGTGTCACGATGACCAGGCCCACGTCGCTCCCCGCCCGGCTTGTCCGCACGGACGAGCGAGTGGCGGAGGAATGTGCGAGTCTCCTTATTTGACCTTCTGTTTACCGCCACTTCCTACCCCCGCTAGAGTAATGGCCAAGGCCGTCGTTGACACAGCCATACAGGGATCTCCTCGGTATGGGCAGAGCTGCGCGTGACACCGGCTGTCAATCCCGGCGCTGGCCGCGTGCGTCTTCACTGCCGGCCGACCCGGCGAGCGCGCGCTGCTGGCGCTCGCCCGGCCCCTCTGGACACGCGCCGAGACCCCGCCGAGACTGCCGCTCACCGGGGTCTACGGGGTCTCCGGGGTCTCCGGCCCCGGACACCTGGAACCGGTTACCGGCAGCAGTTCAGCGGGAACCAACCCCGGAGTCTGAGCCACTGCTGCTACAGTGGAGCTAAGCGCTGGCCCCGTGCGTGATGACGCAGCACACTCGCACACGGGGTGGGCAGAATGCGGCCGCTGCGAGACGAGTCGTGGACTCGCTGGGGGTCCACGGCCGCATGGGCTGATCAAGCCACGCGGTTTCCACCAGCTGCACCACAGTGCACCACATTGAGGAAGTATGTCCCTTGTTCAGGATGGACCTGGGGTGAGGTCACGGTGGGACGAGGGGGTGGTTTGGCCTGGACTTGTGGTACTTGCTGAACTCTATTAGGAAGCCACCGGAGATTTGCACTTTAAAATGTGAATGCAAAACTCGTGAATTTAGAACTGTTTTGTGTGTGTTTAATTTGTCCTTGCCTCGCAACTCCGATTATCACGGTTGACTAACGCACGTTGCGAAAAAAGTTCAGTTAACAGCGCTGGGGTTTTGGTCACCTGTTCGTGGCGGGGTGCTGGTGATGCACGGATGGCCGACTCCACTCTGTGCCACAGCGTCACAGCTGAGCATGCGCTCCACAGCACGCCGGGAGAATGCAGATGTGTTTATGTGAATCGTCTTCGGCTTTCATCATCATCAGCAGCAGCCATAATCTATCCACTGCTGGATGAAGGCTTTCCCTGGCAGTCGCGATCTCCCTGCGACGTGCCTTGACACGGGCGCGGACTGTCCCCGTGCGATGCCCGCGCAGAGCTGCGGGACAGGGTGGTGGCGCTGGGCGGGGTGGCGACGCACGCCCTGCTGCGTGACGAGGAGCGCGGGGTCCTCCTCATCGCAACCACAGGCAGCCTCCTCATCGCCAACCTCAACCACGTCAACCGCAGCGTTCGCGAGGTGCCGCCACAACAATACCACCACCACCACAACAAACCACCACCATAATACCACCACCACCACCACAACAATACCACCACCACAACAACACCACCACCACCATAACAATACCACCACCACCACAACAATACCAACACCACCACCACAATACCACACGATCACAGTCGCGTCACCACCACCAGCCACAACAGTCACATGGTCACGTGGTCACATGGCCAAAAGTCACACCACCACACATCCACACCATTTGTACACGGTTTCTTTAACTTTTTAGTAACGTGGTTGTTTTGTGCCGATGTCTTTGTTCGTTTTTGGTCAGATTTCCCCCTGGGTGTCTCTGCTCTGATATTCATTTGCTTCATTGTGGTACCACGTTTTAAGCTCTTACTCTTGTCACGATTGTGACCCAGGTCACTCTTGCGAATGAGACTCATCACGGTCTCTTGAGTTCTCACCCTGATTAAGCAAAATGCATCTTTTCCTGATCAAGCTGCACGTGATTCGCTACACACCGTAGAACTGTGCCACACACCGACTCGGTGACGTTTGTCCTGTGTTTGGCAGCTCCGCTGGGCAGCAACGGAGGAGCAGGTGGCGGAGTGCCGTGCGGCCGGGAAGGACCCCCGCGTGAGTCACGACCCCCCCCCCCCTCCTCTTCCCGAAGCGATGACGAGGCAATTGGGCCAGGTTGCGACGCGGTGTCATGCGGCGTTGTGAATTAGGGGAACCGGGAGCCAACAAGGAACTTTGTAGAAGAAGTGACCTTCAATCGGACGTGAGCAATGAGGATTGCAATGCACATCCCAATACATATACCTCTTCTGAGAATAATTACCACTTTTTAATGATGCATCTCCCTTCAGCTCCATCTCAATGTCCCGCGATTCTGTCAACTCACTTCACCATTTCCCATCGTCTCACTCCAAGTCCACCGATCTGTCTCCTCCATATCCCATTACCTCGGTGAGATTTCTCAACAGCATCGTGATATCCGCCCGCGTGTTCTCCAGTTTGTTGGTTCCTTCACAAGTAGCGGACGAGTCTGTGTGGGGGGAGGAGCCGTGTGTGACGCGGGCGGGTGCGCTCCGTCTCCGTGGCTGTGCGTGTCGTGCAGCTCGACTGCGCCAACTTCCTGCGGGTGCTGCACGTGCACAACGAGAGCCACGTGCTGCTGTGCGGCACCGGCGCCTTCCACCCGCAGTGCCTCTTCGTGGACGTGCACGCTCTGGCCACGGTACCCGCACGGTCACCCGCGCCCACCGTGGTAGCCTTGCGCCTGTGCCCACCACGGTGCCTGCAAAGGCAGCGCTCTCTGTATGTTTACGGGACACAGTCACCTGGGCCAGAGTGATTGGAAGGCATTTGCCAGATCAGCTCAATAACAATGGTAGGCGGCTGCTATACTTGTGTGCAACCCATGGGCTTGTAATCACCAACGCACTGTTCTTGCATCGGTGCATCCACACCACTTCATGGATGCACGCCGGATCCAAGCATTAACATCTGGTGGACTATTTAGTGACGGAACAAGAAATACGGGCCCGTGTCCTTGACACCAGGACCTTCCGTTGAGCTGATCTTCCCACTCACCATCGGCTTGTCATCTGTAAGATTCATCTGCCATACTTACACTGCAGTAGTCTGCGTGCTGCGAGTGACTGGGAGCAGACATGTGCACACCTACGGGTGTCATGTGACACGTAATGATGAGTATGATGGCGAGATTTACACTTCAATCACTCGATTTGTGTTATATATGTAATGACTCCGGACTCGAATTTTAGAGGTTTCCTTTATTTCACGTAACGTAGCTTAGAACCCCGTCGTCATGAGATAATTCCGACGTGGAGATCGTGTGACCGAGCAGACCGCGACGACGTGAAGACCGCGACGATGGCCCGAGTGCCTCTCCACAGACCGCTGCTTCTATCCTCGTGGATTCTCCGGGGGAATTTCCCCAGCTGTCTCTTTTGGACACTCTAGAGAATTTCCCAACCAAGGACCTCCAGACTTGCTGACACCCTGTCTTCACCTCGAGACTTACTGACACAGTCTCTACATATACACTGCCTCCAAATGCCGTGTTGGCTACACAGAGATCTTTTTGTCTTTGCTTTTGATACGAATCGGGCCTTTCCGCTGCGTATGCCACGAATGGCTTTGCTCCGTCTCTGTGACGTGTGGCTGCCGCCGCTGCCGCCGGGTGCTCCCCACTGCTCTCTGCCACTGCACCATCGTTGCCGTCTCCACGAGCGCGGCTCCTCACGCGGCTCCTCACGCGGCTCCTCGCGTCGACGGGCGGCGCCACTTCGCGGTCCGGTTATTCGTGGTGGCGCAGCCGGCGGTGCCACTCAAGGCGCGTTACACACGGCACCCCCCACACGGCACCCCCCACACGGCACCCCCCACACCGCACCCCCCACACCGCACCCCCCACACCGCACCCCCCACACGGCACCCCCCACACCGCACCCCCCACACGGCACCCCCCACACCGCACCCCCCACACGGCACCCCCCACACGGCACCCCCCACACGGCACCCCCCACACGGCACCCTCCACACGGCACCCCCCACACGGCACCCCCCACACCGCACCCCCCACACGGCACCCCCCACCGCACCCCACACGGCACCCCCCACACGGCACCCCCCACACGGCACCCCCCACACGGCACCCCCCACACGGCACCCCCCACACGGCACCCCCCACACGGCACCCCCCACACGGCACCCCCCACACGGCACCCCCCACACGGCACCCCCACACGGCACCCCCCACACAGCACCCCCCACACCGCACCCCCCACACGGCACCCCCCACACCGCCCCCCCCACACGGCACCCCCCACACGGCACCCCCCACACGGCACCCCCCACACCGCACCCCCCACACGGCGCCCCCCACACGGCACCCCCCACACGGCACCCCCCACACGGCACCCCCCACACGGCACCCCCCACACCGCGGGAGGAGGGCGGCGTCGCAGCCCCCTGCACGCGCGGGGGGAGGGGGCTGTGGAAAAACACGCGGCGGGGCTGACGTCTCCGCCCGTGGAGCCGCGCAAGGCGGCTAGCGCGGCGGTCTCTCGCTCCTAGTTTTCAAGTATGTCACACGAGTGAGTTGTTACTGAAGGTGTAAACACAAGGTGGCTCGAGCTCCGGTCCCTTCCCCGGGGCGGGCGGCCCCCCTGGCGCGCCGCTCGCTGCGGCCCGTGCCCCTTGCAGGGCGCACGCTTCCCTCCCGCTGTCTTCCCGGACAGCGATGGCGGAATGTCAACTCTGATGATGCACGATGGCACCGGGGCTCCTGTGGGGTCGTGAGCATTTTAAATGGAACTCTGTGTTCAAAAGGCAGCTCTGTTGCTTCGTAACGAACAGGGCCTGCTGCTGCTGCCGCTGTTGTGTGTGCCGCGTGGGGAACACTGCACCGTCATTGTCGGGTGCGTCTCGGGAGCGCGACCCCTGCCCGGGGTGCGAGCGGCCCGTGGGGTTATTTCTGTCGACGGGCCACAGCGGCGCCTTGTGCACCGTTTTGGTGCTCAGCTGTTGGGCCGCGCAGCTGCATTGTGCTCTCGTCATTGCGCAATCCCCACCTCTGTTGGCTTGTGGCGAAGTGATGGCACGTGCGCCGCACAGCGAGAAGAGCCTGGGTTTGATTCCCGACAAGGGTGCCATTCTACTTGGAGTTTGTCTTCTCTCCCCGTGTTCTGCATGGGCTTCCTCCCGGGTTCTCCGAGTTCCTCCCGTAGGTAAAAGCCACATCGCAGTCCTTGACACGTCCTTGCAAATAACTCGGTTGGGTTTTAAATTTTGATTTAAAGCTTTCGTGACTGCAGGGATTCATCTCCTTGGTTCTTTCGGTAAAGTCACGTAGAAGGGAAGCAATAAAATAATAAAAAAATAAAACATAATAAAATTATTCTCACGACGTTTCGGCCACAATGCAAGCAGCCGTCCTCATGTGAAAACCAGGTCCGTCGAGGCGACAGACTCAGGTCCGTCGAGGCGACAGACTCTGTCGCCTCGACGGACCTGGTTTTCACCTGAGGACGGCTGCTTGCGTTGTGGCCGAAACGTCGTGAGAATAACTCGGTTGGGATCACACACAGCAGCCACGTGAACCCCCCCCTACTGCGGAAACTTGGCAGGACCCTCCTGGACATGAGGTTTTTCTGGGGAACGGAGCACAACAACAATTCACCTTCGTGATCATCTCGAGGGAAGGATTACCGAACCTGTCTCTCTTGTCCTGTTCAATGAGGCTCATTTGAGAATATTTTATTTTGTTTGCTTCAATCATCTCGTCTGAGAAAAGCAGCTTCGTTCAAATTGAATGCTGTCCCCAAAGACGTAGAGCCCATCTCATTCACTCACGACACGCGCATCAAATCGTGCCTCCAAGAACTAGGCCGTCGTGATCCGTGCAAGTTGTGTGCCTTGAGGCAAATAGAACCATGCAGGAACCGGCGGTGCAGGACCCTCTACGAGACTGAGAGGGTCTGACTTCGTAAACCAGGGTTCACGGTACACCACTCAACTCTTGGATCGTGTATTTTTTACCACGGGGTGACGATGGTTAACTGTAAACCATTGCACATGTTCCAGCGACTGCTCTGCCACGACGATGTGCAGCGTTGAAGGAGGCGCAGTGTGAACGATCACCGTTGCCACGGTGACCCCTATTTCCCTATTCGTCCCGTGCAGCATCAGGAGTAGCAGCAGCAGCAGCAGCGATGATCACGGCCGTGTTCCCTCTGCGGAAACTCCGCGGCGCAGGAATCGCGACCGTGTGAGTGCGTGGTGGCGGCATGCCGCCCGCCCGCCCGCCCGCCGGTGACAGCACACTGACGATGCGTTTGTTGCTCTTGGAAGTTTGCCGGATCCCAGCAAACGTTCGTCCAGGCAGGTGGCCCGCTCCTCTTGCCGCCCGAGAGTGCTGCTCGGAGCGCGAGGCCCCACGCACTCCGAGGCCCCACGCACTCCAGGGCCCCACGCACTCCGAGGCTCGCTGGGGAGCGCCCCGCGGGGAACGAGAGAGGGGGCCGCGCGGAGCGAGGGATGGGGGGGGGGCCCTGCGCTCCCCCTGCGCTCCCCCTCGGCCCGCAGAGCGTTGACCTCGACTCGTCCCTCTCCGCTCCCCGTGCATTCCTCCTCCGCCTCGCGGTCCGAGTGGCGTCTCGTCGCGGCGCTTTCATCGTTTGTGCAGATGGACATGGGTTTTGCACAACATCCGACATTCTGTCTCTGCCCTGCGTGCTTGCTTGCTCGAGACTTCAAGGAGATGGTATTTTAATGGTCTTCCCCAGAATGCCGGGGCACTCCAAGTGGTGCCGAGTTTGCTTCTCACGCTGGCTCGTTAGCAGAGCGAGGAGGAGGAGGTGTCGTTGACAGAGAGAAGGCGATTTGTCAAGTCATGGACGAGCAAGGTCGAGAGGTCTGTCTGGCCCGTGGCACGACCTGGCGTTGCATGCAACTGGTTCGACAAGTATCTGCAACTTACTCGTCTGGGATTACACAGCAGCAGCAGCTGCTGCATGGCGCCCTACTGCGACAAGCTTGACAGGACCCTCCTGAAAAGAATTGTGAGGATCTATGAGGCTCTCCTGCAGGGTAAACAAGAGGGATCTTGATTTTATGAGTCAGAAGAGTTAAGAACCCCATTGTGCTTGTCGTGCGTGAGCAGCCGCCAGCTTTGTTGATATTTTTGCGTCTGTGGGCCCATGTCCAACAGGGAGGGCCCTCGCCGATTAAACATCTGGGCAGTTCAGCGGCGGCGGTTCAAGCGAGCCGACTGCTGATGAGACGCATAATGTTTTTAGGCCAATGCTGTGAAAATTCTGCACTTACAGACAGCCGTATGGCTGATGGGATGTGTACAAAAGAGAAACTTGTTTTATTTACGTGGAGCGAGAGATAATGTGAAGAGAAGAAGTGTCTGCTCGTCGTTTACACGACGCTCGCACCTCGCAGCAGGCAGCAGCCCCCCCCGTCCTCCCCGTCCCCTGTAGACCCCCACGCTGCTTGCCATCCACAGCCCGTGTCTCTGGATCGGCAGCAACAGTCAGCCCAGGGAGAGGAGCTTCTTGTAGAATGGTACTCACTCCAGTGGCTTAGAATTTTAAAGTGCCTGACATCATCGGATCTCATCTCAACCATTGCATTGCTATTCTGCTCGAGTTTTATTTTTGAAATGGCACTTGTCCCTGTGCGGCACTAGGTGACGCGGCAACCAGGCCTGCAAGTGGTCATGAGTTTCTCTCTCCCACCTGACGGCGATTGCTTGCGTGGTGATCGAAACGTCGTGATCTATTATTTTTTCTACCTACGTGACTTTACCGAAAGAACCAAAGAGTGTGGATTCCTGCAGGCACGAAAGCTTCAAATCAAGATTGGCCATTAGTCTCTCGGCAGGGGCCGATGTTGCTCTTGATTGTTCCAGATGAGTGATGCGTGAGGTGATGTTGGCTAGATTTGTACCATGACGCCAGCACACGATTCCATACCCTCTTCGGATCTCTGGCGATCACTCAGTGATGCAGACGGCGCGTGTCCCCCGGCTAATAAAGCTCCCGCAGTGTGAAACAGACGCCGCCTGGAATGATGATCTCCAGATGTGGGGACATGTCGAGAGACGCGCGTGCAGGAGCTCTGGCTGGCGCGCTCATTACGATGACACGGTCCAGGGCACGGTGTGGGATTGAGAAAGCAGCTGTGCGGACAGCGCGTGGCGTCTCCAAGGCCCCTCCTGGGGTCGCCACCTCTTCTACTGTCGACCAAGCCCCATGCACGTCTGTCAGTCCGTGAGCCGAGGTCTATATTCGCAGCTGTGTGGCAGTATCCTGCAATCGGGCTCCAGACAACACGGGTACCGGGTCTCGGTACAAATCAGTTATTCGCCTGCACAGTCGTTGGAATGCGTTTTAAGCAGCGCGTGTTTATTACCTGAATTTTACGCTCCAAACGGGCCTCGTGTAAACACACAGCGACGGTGCAGCGGTGGACACGGCCGCTTCCTGCACTCGTATCATTACAACTGTCACGGTTCTGTGTGTTGCTGGCTGCTTGAGAGGAATGTTTCTTCGTGTGAAATACTTCTGATTGGCCACTGTCTGCCAATTCCTGGACACAGATGCCGCGAGATGCCCGCGTGACCCAAGCGCCGGCGTCACCGATGAGCAGCCTCTCGTCTTGGCCGTTGTCGCACACAGGGCGGCACAGTGCAGCAGTGGCGGCCGCAGGACGTGTTCCCGGGGAGGGGGCGATGCTCGTACGACCCACGCTCGCCCCTCGCCTCCGCCATGATCGGTGAGGAATCCCACGCCTCCCTCTCTTCCTCCTCCTCCTCCCCACGCGACTCGCCTCCCTGTCCGCTCGCCCCGTTGCCTTCCATCCCAGAGCCGCCACGGCGCCGCGCCGTCAGCGCCGTGCGCTGGAGATGGAGGCGGAGCAGACGCATGGCCTCCTGCCCCCTCCACCATCCCCTCTGTGATGTTGGTGTGAGGCCCAGGCCCGTCCACAGGGGGCCTCGGGCAACTCACACCATGTGGGCCCCCAATACCTTCAAACTAAACTGGAAGTCTGACATCTGACACCGTGACGATTCGTCGTACCCTCGGGGCGGCTCTGGTGAGGGCCATGGGTGCTGCTACCCCAGCGGAGGCCCATATAAGAACCGGCCTGTGCAGTAAAGGCTGGGCTGACTTGGGCTTCCCTGGATAATTTTTGTAGCACCGGATCACCGAGGTAGTCGTCGATCACCGACCACCGAGGTAGTTCCAGATGGCTGGGCTAGCCTCGGATCACCGGGGCAGTCCTAGATCACCGAGGCTGCACCAGATAGCCAGAATACCCCCCAGTTCGCCATGGTACTGCTAAATCACTGGCTCCAGTTCACCAGGGTAGTGCCAGATCCACTGATCACTGTGGTGGTACCGGATCGCCAGGGTAGTGCGAGATTGCTAGCTCCGGATCACCCGGGGTACTCGGCGCGAGTGGAGGTGCCGCTGCCTTGCAGGTGGCCGTCTCTACGCCGGCCTCGCCGCCGACTTCCTGGGCCACGACGGCGCCGCCTTCCGCAGCCTCGGAGCGGCACCCACGGTGCGCAGCGAGCGGCACGACACGCGCTGGCTCCACGGTGAGCGGCGAGCACGCGAGACCGTTCCCCGTCGTGCGGCGCGTGACCCGCGTGCGGCGCGTGACCCGCGTGCGCGTGTTCGCGGCGCGTGCCGTCAGATCCCCGGTTCGTCCGCGTCGAGGCGATCTCCGAAGGCCGCGGCGAGGACGAGAAGGTTTACTTCTTTTTCCACGAGAGGGCGACGGAGGGCGAGACCGGAGACGACGGCGGCGGCGGCATCGTCTCCCGCGTGGCCCAAGTGTGCAAGGTGCCCGCGCTCGGCGGGGTGGGACGGCGGCCGTGGCCTGCGGCGCCGGCGAGGCGAGGGCTGGTGGATCGCGCGGAGGGGCAGGGAACCGCAGGCGACAAAGCGGGAATTGCAGCCGGAATCGGCGCCGACAATTGCCCAAGCTCTGTGGTTCTACGTCAGGATGATTGTTTATAGCACCCGGAGAAAACCGACACGTGCAAAGGGGCGGGGTGACACTCGGTCCCGTGCAGATGGAGTACAGATGTAGCGTCGTTGTTGACGCACTGGCGCTACGAAGCGCTTACGACCAATATCGGTGACAAATAGCCGAACCGATTCTGTAGCTCTCCTAGATCTGCTCGGCCTTGCATGAGCACTTGGGGCCCAGGTACGAGTTTAACGTTCGATTCCCCGCTGCCCCCAGGACGACGAGGGCGGCCGGCGCAGCCTCGTGGGCCGCTGGAGCACCTTCCTCAAAGCGCGCCTCGTCTGCTCCGTGCCCGTGGGCGTCGGCGGCGGCGGCGTCCACACGCACTTCCACGTGCTGCGTGCGTTTCCCTCGCACTCGCGCTCACGCTCGACCCCCAACAGTCGCTCACGCTCGCCAATCGCACTCGTCTTTCACGCTCGCCACTCGCCGCTCACGCTTTGCGCCCAGAGGGCTGCTGGCTCCGAAGGGGTGCCGAGTTGACGGTGACTCGTCGGCCGCCGCAGGAGACGAGAGGAGGCGCCCGAGGCAGACCACGCGTCTGCTGTGTTCTTGCGGGGCCGTTGGTGCTCGCGGTCACAGTGGCGAGCACGGTGCCGAGCTCCCACGCTGAGCTGGCGTCACACCGCTCGCGCGTCACACCGCTCGCGCGTCACACCGCTCGCGTGTTGGACTCTTGCAGGGGACGTGTTTGTGCTGAAGAGGCCGGACGGCAGGAGCCCCCTCATCTTCGCCATCTTCACAACGTCCAGGTGGCAATGCCAACGTCGCCCCACGTGGCCCTACCCACACGTAGATTGTGAATCTACTTTGTCCCCAACCAGTGGGGTATTGTGCAGGATACACGCCGCTACGCCACACCAGAACCGGCATCAAACGCACGCACGAACACACACACACGAACACACACGAACACACACGAACACACACACACACGAACACACACGCACGAACACACACGCACGAACACACACACACACACGCACGAACACACACGCACGAACACACACACACACACGAACACACACGCACGAACACACACGCACGAACACACACGCAAGAACACACACGCACGAACACACACGCACGAACACACACGCACGAACACACACACACGCACGCACGAACACACACGCACAAACACACACGCACGAACACACACGCACGAACACACACGCACGAACACACACGCACGAACACACACACACGAACACACACACACGAACACACACACACACGAACACACACACACGAGTCGGGGCTTTTCTTCCGTCAAGGGAGAAACGCGGCATGGGCAGGAGGCAAATCATCTGCCAAGGTGGCATTGTTGACGTGGGTGACTGTGTGGGAGAGCGGCGGTGGGCCCTGCGTTGTGACGAATCTCTCTACCCCCCCCCCCCACGTGTCACCCAGCGACGTCCTGCGTGGCTCTGCGCTCTGCGTGTACGACATGGCGGACGTGTCGGCCGTGTTCCGCGGCTCCTTCGCGCACCGGGAGGGCGCCCGGCACGCGTGGGGCCCCTACGCGGGCCGCGTGCCCTTCCCGCGCCCCGGAACGGTGCGCACCCGACCGCCCCGCCGAGCCCGTGACAAACGCAATGCGGCGACACGACTTAATCACAGAACCGTGACGGCCACGATTACAACATTGCGACAAACATAACGTAAACCGTGACGCGCACAGTCACGCACCTGTGGCGAGCGCCGTGCTAGTCACGCGATTTGCCATGTTGGTGACCCAGGTCACGCTTCTCTCCTCCCGCTCACTCTCTCCTTGCTGCTCTCTCTCTCGCTGCTCTCTCTTTCTCTCCCGATTGCTCTCTCTCTCTCTCCTCTGCGTCTCCTGCTCTTTCTCCCCCGAGCTCTCCCCCGACCCGGACGAGCCGACCGCGTGCGTCTCCCGTGCCGTGCGCAGTGCCCGGGCGGCGTGCACGGCACGTACCGCTCCACCCGCGATCTGCCGGACGCCGTGGTGGACTTCGCCCGCGCTCACCCGCTCGTGGCCGGCGCCGTGCGGCCCGCGTCCGGCCGGCCCGCGTTGGTGCACGCGCGGGGCGACCGGCTGCTCACGCGCGTCGTGGCGGAGAGCGTCGACGCCACCGACGGGCGCTACCACGTCCTCTACCTGGGCACCGGTGAGCGGGCGCCGTCGCTGCGGACGAGAGGCTCCCGCCGGCGTGACTCGGGAAGGGGGGCAGCCACGGAGAGTGGCCCGGTGCCGTGGCCGCTCGGGGCGATTGACGCCGGCGCCCAAGCTTGCCGCTCGTGTTGAGAAATCGGCATGAATTCATGTACTTATGTCATTTGTACTCCTTTATATACTTTAGATTTATTTAGTTTTCATGCCTTGCTTGCCTTTTATTTATTTTGCACTTTTTTTGCAATGTTTGTTGTAACTAATTGCCCTGTACCTTCTGGACATCTTTGAAAAATTGCTCATCGGATTCCTCCCATCTAAATGAAGATTTTGATTCTCACCGTGTACGGCTGGCATGAAGTAAGGTGTCACATTGGTCCACAGACGCAGTCTGTCCAGTGGTTTGCCAGTGGGGCCACGCTGCTGCTGCTGCGAGTATAATCCCGAGGGAGTGAGTGCCGGTAAACATTTACAAATTTGGAACGTTTGGACCCCGACGCCGGCCGGCACACAACGACCTATTCTTGCGAACGACATCACGGGCTCCCGAGCGTGGTATTCCACGGCGAACGCCACCGCGGCATTAACCAGGGAGGTTGCTGCGTTCAAACCTCGTCACCGCCACGCAGGGGCAGACGCGCGGGTCGTGGGCGACAGCGCCGCTCTGTCTGGGCGAGCGCTGCGCAGCCCTACGTGCGGGGCTGTCGCGGTGAGCGACAAGGTCTGCTGTGTGCCGTGCCGCGGTGTGCGCTGTGCCGCACAGACACGGGGCGGCTGCTCAAGGCCGTGCTGGTCCCCGGCGCCGACGGCGGTGACTCGGCTCTGCTGCTCGAAGAGCTGCAGCTGTTTGAGGTAAGCGCGGCACGGCGCGACGCGGCACGGCGCGAGGCGGCACGACGCGACGCGGAAGTGCGTCACAGCGTGACCGACTCCACCGTGTTTTTCAGGATGGTTCTGCGGTGACCGTGATGGAGATCTCCAGCAAACGGGTAAACTCGACGCGGGGGGCCCTGCACGCGCTCGGAGCACTCGCGCAGCCCGGGGGACCGTGCAGAGCTCCCGGCTCGGCGAGGCCCATTCACCGTCGCACCCAGATGGGATCCTCACTGCTTGGGTTTATTATTAATATTTCCCTTGTTCAGGAGCGTCCTGCCAAGGTTCCGCAGTAGGAGGGGCGATGATGCTGCCTATTTAAGGTGTCGAATGTCGGCATACACAAAGCGCATACAGTTTAACACGTAGGCTTTCGCGACCAATATCCATTTCAGCCTTTCGCTGACTCTCTGAGTTGCATTATTAGGTTGGATGTCTTTGTATTGACGAGCTGGATGTCCTTCTCGCTCGGTCACCGATGCTGCGACATACTAAGCTCGTACATTGACGTGCTCATCTCTCACAGTACAACAGCCACTTCCACAGCCTCAGGGAGACCATCTCTAGCCCCGCCCTCTCACCCTGAGGCTGCACACATCTCAGGCCTCGACAAGACCTTGTTCCAGTAGCTTTCTCTCTCTCTCACCTGAAGACGGTCGCTTGTGTTGTGATCTATAAATTTTATACCTACGTGACTTTACCGAAAGAACCAAAGAGTATGGATTCCTGCAGTCACGAAAGCTTCAAATCAAGATTGAATCCATAATACAGGTTTTGTATTATGGATTCAATGTGTCGTTAAACTCACCACCACCCGACACAGCCAATTGGTAATGTTTGTCATGTAAACAGAACAGATTGTACATGTTGTGGCTTTGCTCTCCAACACCCCGGTGTACTGTCCTAGTAACGAATTGGCATGTTCTGTTTACGTGACAAACCTTACCAATTGCCTGTGTCGGGTGATTGGCGGGTTTAATGACACTTTTATATATTTACGCGATCTAACCCAAAAAAACCTGCACTATGAAAGCACACATACACAAACAGTGAGTGCCCCAAGGCACTTGCTGTAGGGGGACTGGCTGGGCTTGGTGGCTGTCACGTGTTTTGCCTCCAGCTAAAACACCACACACCATCTATGTAACCCGTGTTGGACAAACGTCCCAATGCTGGAATATTCACTACACATTCGGGATCACGCAGCAGCATCAACATCGCCCCCTACTGCGAAAATATGACAGGACCCTCCTGAAAAAAGTCTTGAGACTCGACGAGAATTGCATGGGGAAACATGTTGCTAATAAGAATGATGATAAATAACAGATCGCTGGACTCGCTGGCTTCTGGCAGTGACTCTCCATCCCTGTGCTCCGGCCGCAGCGGCAGCTCTACGTGGGCAGCGGCACGGGGCTGGTGCAGCTCCCCGTGCAGCGCTGCGACCTCTACGGCCAGGCGTGTGCCGAGTGCTGCCTCGCACGGGACCCGCACTGCGCGTGGGACGGCCGTGCCTGCTCGCGCTACCACGCGCCCTCCCGGCGGTACGCGCCTCCCGCTCGTGCCCTGCGCTCCGAGGCGCCGTCACCACGATGAACACGGTCGGCCGAGCGTGTTGGGCGAGCGGTCGGTGGCCCCAAAGGCACGAAGCGAGAGAGCCTCGCATTCTTGTGAATCCGTCTACTCGATCGGTCCTTCTCCTCCCGGTCGTACGCGTGAGCGAGGCCGCGAGGACACATTTAAGAAACGTCGCCCAGCTGCGCCGCATTCGTTCTCCTGCCGAAGCGGACGCTCGTGTTCTCGCGTCTTCGCTCTTGCGACGCTTTCTCCTGTCCAGAGGCCTGAGTGACCTCCTCGTAGCCTGCGGTCCATCCAGCCTCGCGGCCAATCGGGCGCTCGCTCGCACTCCCCTTTGGCACCGTACCTCACCCCTGTGCTCGTGTCGCTGCACCGGCTCCCGATTGAAACCCGGGTGGATTTTAAGATGATCCTACTCGTGTTTTAAGGCTAGCTGCGCCTTATATCCAGGAGTTGATTGAGCCACTCGCTCCTCCACCGAGACCTTAGAGATCCACCGACCGTGCCCCCCTACTCGGCGTGACCGCCACGCTCCGGGCTCCGACTCTGGGGTGACCATGGGGCTGCTGTCTGCACGGGGCCCGGGCTCTGGAGTTCCCGCCCTTAGAGGTCGAGAACTCGCAATCGATGAAGACTGAAGACCCCACCAGCTGTTGACTCGGCCCCCTCTTGAGCTTCTCTCTCTCTCTTCAGCCTTCCTCTTCCCGGTAACTCCTCACTTATTCCTCCCTTCTCTACACATATGGAACTCTGACATATCTTGAAGGGCGCCTTTATATATCCAAATTATCGAAAGGAATTATCGGAAGGTCGTAAATTCAAATCATGGTTGGGGGATTGACTCGGCCCATCATCCCTCTGCGGTCAGTAAAATCGGTACCACTTTGTGGGGTAGTCAACATGGGTTGTCCTGTGAATTGGCTTGCCCCTGTCAGAGATTTTAGGAATTCCACTACTGGCTCTGCAGGTCCGTAAACGGGAGCTCCAATATCTCGCAACTCATTGGTGCAAGACATCATTTAGATTTTGGGTCCGTCAATGGAAAGAGTGGAAATGATATCCAGCTGTGGGCCTGTGCCCTGCCCATTGCCCCTGTACCCTCCAGGAGATTCAGGCGCCAGGATGTGAGACACGGAAACCCGGTGACGCAGTGCCACGGGCAGCCCGGTAACCTGCCACACACAGACACACGTGCCCTCTGTGTGTGTGTGCGTGCGTGTGCTCTATGTGCATGTCTGTCATGAGAGAGTGTGTGTGGGGATCGGTAGTGCGGTGGTTAGCGCGCTGCGCTACAAACCCAGCAACCTGAGTTAAATTCCCGCTCATGGCCAACATCGGTGAAAAATATCTGAACCGGTCCTGAGCCTCCCCTAGGTCGACTTGGCCTCAAATGAGTACCTGGTGCGGCGTGTCAACATCGCCACCGGAGGACGAAGGCGGCCGGGCGTGGTGTTGGCCACCCGCCCCCTCGTGTGCTGTGCCGACTTTCGTAGGTGCTCGCTAACCGCACGTGTCCCAACAGTCCGTTGAGGCTATAGGGGGGGATCTTTTTCTTTGTGTGTGTATGGTAGTGTCTGGTGTATGTCCATGCGCGTTGTCGTTGCGCGTTCCGTGTGTTTGAGGAGTGGGAGAGGCGCAGGAGGAGAGGCAGTTCGTGGTGGCGGGGAGCGGCGTGCTGCTCGAGTGTCGCCCACGCCCGCGCCACGCGCGCGTCTCCTGGCAGCGGCAGACAGGCGCGGCGCTCGTCCAGAGTGTGACCCAGGTGAGCACGGCGTGGCGAGCTCCCCGCACTCGCCGCAGGCACACCACGAGGGCACCAACAGAGACGAATCAGGTGGTACCCTCATGGTATATCTTGTAGCCACCACAGTGGCCAGATGCTGGCTAAAGTGGCCCCTCAGGATAGAGTGGGGATCTGAGTGTGTGTGGTGCCGTGGTGAGTGTGGATCTGAGTGTGTGTGGTTCTGTGGTGTGTGGTGCTGTGGTGAGTGTGGATCTGATTGGGTGATGCCGTGGTGAGTGTGTGGTGCTGTGGTGAGTGTGGATCTGATTGTGTGGTGCCGTGGTGAGTATGTGGTGCTGTGGTGAGTGTGGATCTGAGTGTGTGGTGCCGTGATGTGGATCTGTGTGTGTGGTGCCTTGGTTAGTGTGGATCTGAGTGTGTGGTGCCGTGGTGTGTGGTGCTGTGGTGCGTGTGGATCTGATTGCATGGTGACGTGTGGTGACGTGCGGTGACGTGTGTGATGCTGCTCCGTGGCAGACCGAGCGTCTGCTGCTCACCGACCATGGCCTGCTAATCCGAGATGCCCGGCCCAGCGATGCGGGCCTCTACGCGTGCCGTTCCGAGGAGCCGGGCTTCACGCGCTCCGTGGCGCGCCTGCGCCTGGCCGTGCTGCCGGCCCCGCGCGTCGAGGCCGCCACCTCGCCTCGGGGCGGCCGGGGAGGCCCCGGGCGGTGGCGGCCACGTGGCTGGTACGAGCGTCTGCTGGCCCTGCTGAGCACGCGCCCAGAGGGCCCCGAGCCGCGCTCCTGCGAGGGCCCCCGGAGCCGCGAGGGCCTTGGCGCGGGCGCGCACGAGGAGGAGCGGCCCCGGGCCCGCGAGCTCAAGACTCCGTGGGCCCGGGAGGGGACACGTGACCCTGCAGCCCCGCGCATCCCCCGGAGCGTGCGAGGCCTGCGCCGCAAGCGGCAGCGGCGCCCCTCTTAGCAAGGACTGTGATGCACGGCAAGGCCCAAGGGCCCAAAAGATCAAGTGGCCGGCAACAAACAGCACTGTAGTCGGTTGTAATACGAGTGTAATGCGTTTCTTGGATTGAGAAGTTATTGAGCGAGGTAAGAGCTTGGGTAAGGAGACGATACAAGGGAAGAAGCGGAAAGCGAAGGGTGCGAGTGAGTTAGCGGTTGAGTGTGTTGTGATCTGCAGTGTGGTGGTGGTTGAACAGTGGTGGATGAGACAAAACGATGTCTCGTGGACCGAATCTTCAACACGGGTGGAGGAATCAACGAGTGAAGCTCGGTCACCATGGCAGCAGCACCGACAGAAGGGTGATAAAGAGGTGGCTGCTTGCCGGCGAGCGAGTGAAGTGAATCGGCGAGGACTGCACCACCACCAAGCACCTGACTGACGGTCAAGACTGCCATGCGTTGCTGATGCTGCATGTCGGCTCCTTATTGCCTTTATTTATAAGTTATTTTATTTCTTGTAACGGCAGCCAAGACGAAATACGAATTCTTAAACATGAAAATGAAGCAGCTTCGTTTGCACGCTAAAGCAACTGCAAATCAGCAAGCGCTGTGCACAGCGCAGCCGCCTGCAGAAGACGCCGCCTCCTCGACGCAGCGCGAGCACACCAGAGACCCAGACTCTTCAGACGCTGTCGCCTCGACAGACCTGGTTTCACCTGAGGATGGCCGAAACGTCGTGAGAATTATTTTATTATGTTTTATTTTTTTATTTTTTATTTTATTACTTCCCTTCTACGTGACTTTACCGAAAGAACCAAGAAGATGAACCCAGACTCTTGCTTGCAAATGGGGAGTGGTGCCTCATGGATGCGTCGAACTCGGACCCAGGGTCCTTGCCTACCCTTGCCTACAAACATCTGGCAGTTCACCATCTTTGGTTCAAGCGAGCCTGGCTGCTGATGAGACACTCAACGTCCAAAGGGATACAGTTTGCTCGTGTTGAACCAATGCTGCTAAAATCATAAACTTCCAGAAGGCCGTGTGGCTGATGAGTTGTAAAAAAAACATCAGATTCTTTAGACTGGAGGAGTAATCCCCATGGGCTATAAAGTTCCTCTTCACAGATATCATGCAGGAGGGGTAGTTAAATGAGCTCTATGTGGAGGGACAGCTGTTCATTTGTTTATATTCTCCACAGCGACGCGAACGACCGTGTTGTTATTTTTAAGGATGACGTGGATGCTAACAACGCGTGGAACATTTCATGCCAATGGCTCAGGGTCACCACTGAGATGGCGCCACGCTCGTCTCAGCAGGGAGATGTTGAAGCGAGGGACGATTAACGCAACCGCGGATCGACATTCAGCGGAGGGAACCAAAGTCTGACGTCGCGCATTTCCTTTGTTGGGGCTCTCAATAGAACAGAGTTGGCTGTGAACTCAGGAGTTGAAATCTCTTGCAAAACTTGGCTGATAATTAAGGACATGCAAATGAAACGGGTCATAGCTGTCTGATACGTTTTATTGAAAAAAATAAAAAATTAGCAATTATATTACACGGTTTAGTTACACTTTTCAGAACATCTGAGAAGCATAAAACAGTAACACAGGCATCAAGATGTATCTGCACCCGGAATGAGAGGACATAACCGGCCATGGCCCAGCACTCCGTGAGAAACTAAATTAGGAGCTGGAGGATGTGGCACACAGCACAGCTATCGGGGGAGGACTTCGCTGAACATTTTATGTTAAATAAATCACTTCAGTTTACAATTTGCAATCAAAATTTGGTCACTAATATTTTAATATCTGAATATAGCTGTGATAGCGCAGTGGTCACCTCTCTGTAATCGCGTCACAGCAGCTTCTGGATGCAGCGTCAGCCGTGTGGCAGTATAAATGATTAAAGTTTCAAATTGAGAATGTGGCAGAGTTGAAACAGAAGTCGGTGCTTGACCTCGATGTTTGTAATCATGTACTGTGGGTCCAGCCTGGGATGCTCACAGATTGTGGCAACCAGCTCCGTACAGCAGCCAAGTTTCACTCGCAAGGCCACCCCAGGCCCGGCGCCACAAAGGAGCTGCCGGCGCTGGGGCCTGCACCCCCAGATGTCCACTTCACCGGCCCAAGCTCACACTCCTCAGCGGTGAAATGCTGTGACGATAGCCACCCACACAACATCCCTACTGCACAAACCACCCCCCCCATGCAAGAGGAGCTGGAGCTCGCTGCTGCTCCCACCCGGAGCACATCCGTCCTATTCCACAGCCAGTGAGCCAACTGCATCCTCGCCACAGGCTGCCTTCGCCTGATGACTCGTAATATTTACAAAACACCGTGCTTCAGCGTGACAACCAGGCGGTATACGGCCAACATTCACCCGTGTCTTCATGCATGAATTTGTTGCAAAATGAACACTCGCCGGTTTTAAGTTATTCTAAACATTAACGAGGAGAAATACGGTTACAAAATACGTTGCAGATGTTACAAAAATGTTCTTGCTGCAGCAAACAAAAGCTGTGGGCACAACCCGAATATTAAGTGTGGATAGGAGTGGTGCATGCAATGCGTGTGCCACAGGCTGTGTTGAGCACACAGCCTCTGGCACACGGAGGCCATGCACCACAACCTGTGGGGCAGAGGCTGTGCACCGCATGCTGTTAAGCACAGCAGCTTCAGTATTGGAAAGAGCCACCTTCTCCACATGGCATTGTTTGACAAGATCAAGAGGTCATCACTGCCAATGCTATTGTAACACCAAACACTTGCAGTCTCCGCTTGGCAGGGAATCCACACGGTTTGCTTGCTTTAAGTCTCCCAGATTCCACAGCATGGTCCCCCAATCACAGCACGACCCACCCCCCCGCATTGGGTGCATGCCCTCAGCAACAGAGGACGCCCCCTGGCGTAACAAGTGTGATACGGACCGAACCAAGAAGGCCCGTGGTGGCCCGCAGCTGCGATCGCACATCCACTGTTGAAGGAAGCAATTCTCACATCAACACAAACTCCAAGGCTAAAACAACGCATGCCACTGAGCTTGCAGACCTGAGCCACCGATTCTCACTTTCCTGTAAAACCAACACATTTACAAATAACTAAAACGCATTGAGCAAAAACTGCCTGTAAAATATCTTTATAATCTAGAATATTAAAGTTACGGTTTAGTTGACCAACGACACTCGACAAGGCAAGTCCAGTTTGTGACGCAGCCCCGACGGCCGCGGTGCCTTCCAGACGACAATTGAACTTGGAGAGAAACCAGAAATTCCGCGGAGCTGAGCAAGCGCCGTGTGAAGACATTGCACCTCCACCTCGGGCGCACCGCACGCGAGACTGCGGCGTAAGCCGAGAGTCGCCCACACCAGGGTTCATCTTGCCGGCGCACGCGTCCGGTAGTCGCAGCGCGGCCGCTCGGGGCGTCCGTCAACTCGGGGCGCTCTGCCAACGAACGGCGGTAGCCGTGGCGCTGCTCAGTCGTCGATGGTGGGAAGCCAGAAAGCCTGCAGCGCGAGAGAGAGAACACCAATGCTGCCCATCACATCCCACCAGTACGTGTTTGCGGCGCTCAAGCCCCTTTGTCCACTGCGCGAAGGAAGCCGGTGTCCCGTTGCAAGTCTCCGCGAGGCGGGCGTCGTGGCTGCAGCAGGAGGGCCGATTTCCACGCGCCCTGCGACCCCGAGTGAGCCGAGCTACGGCCCGTTGGCGCGGCGACGGAGAGAACGGCTCGCACACTCAGAGGGGCGAGCTCGCATCTTGGTTGGGACTTTCGTCAGCCCATTATTCCTCAGGGGTCGATAAAATAAATACCAATTTGTGTAGGGGGAAGATAACAGGGGTTGTCCTGTGCAGAGACTCTCCCCCAACATGGGAATGTAGAATTCCCACCACAGACTCTGTAGGGCTGCAGACGAGAGCGGAGCACCGACGCCTTGAGGCTCACGAGAGCCGGGGGACGAGGGGAGTAGCCCCAGTCCCCCTTGGTGCGCGGGGGAAGTACGAACCCATTCCCACGTACATCCTCAACCGGGACTACCTTATGGACCATGGCACCGGCACACAATGGCCTACCACTGAGACTGCTGCCACAGGATCTTTAATGTCCACTTACGAGCAGACGCCGGGCGGTGTCAAGCAGGGAGGCCGCTAGATATGAATCGCGAACTTCCGTGACGGCTCGCGCGATGCTCACCATGTTGGCGCATGCGCTGGCCACCATCATGTACTTGGGGTTGAACTGCAGGCAGGTGACGGGGCCCGTGTGCTTGCCGTCCAGGATGGCCACCTTGGTGCCGCTCTCCGTGTGCCACACGTGGATCTTCCCGTCTTCTGAACCTGCACGCAGCGCGGGCCGAGCGCAAGCGGTCACGACACGGCTCCGTGGAACCTCTCGTCGTTACCGATCGCGAGTGGCGGTAGCGTTGTGAATGCGCCGTGCGCCCAGGAGAGCGGGCTCCGGAACGTACGAGGCCCTCGTGCGAGGGACCACGCTTGGTCCCAGCAGCGCTCCCGAAGCTCGAGGCGACCAACAAAGGAGCTCTCCTGCAGCTGCACTCGCCCCCCCCCCCGTTGACCGATTTGCAAATCCAAATGGTCATATTCTTGGTTCTTTTGGTAAAGTCACGTAGAAGGGAAATAATAAAACAATAAAAATATTAAACAATAAAATTCTCACGACGTTTCGACTGCAACACAAGCAATCATCATCATTGCTTGAATTTGAATCCCTGCAGTCACGAAAGCTTCAAATCCAAATGGTCATGTTTGGAAAGCTTCAGGGTCTCAACTCTCCCTCAGGAGGTCCTGTGAAGTGTGTCACAGTAACAGGGTGATGTTGCTACTGTGCATGATCCCAATTGAGTAGTATGCAGTACAGGATTACATTGCGCGATTCTCACCGGTCATGATGAACTGGGAGTCGGGGGAGAAGGATGCCTCCAGGGTGATGCCCTTGCTGTTCGTGTGGCCCTGCAACCCAGGCACAACAAAGACCCCAGTGTGGCCTTAACAGACTTTTGTGGCAAGTGCTGTGGTGCTGATCACCCGTCCCCTTATGTCCAGTGCCGGCCTTCACAGACGCCGCCGCTACTTGCCAACAGCACCCACTCACGCACGCACAACAGCGCTTCACAATGCACGCCTTTTTCTCGTGATTCCTCCTGCTCCACACCTTTGCATACGAGACTTTCCGTAGGGCGGGAGTTTCCAGTGACGCAGTTTAATGAAGGTACGGAGCGCGGCCGCAACGGTGGCCCACCCCGGCCCTCACCGTGAACATGTGCAGCGCGCTGCCCTGGAAGGCGTCGACGAGACGCAGCACGCCTCCGTTGGTGGCGATGAGGATGAATTTGCCGTCGTTGCTGATCTTGAGGCCGGTCCAGTCGCACGTGCGGTCCTGCTGCAGGCGGAACGTGGCGAAGGGGCCCTGCAGCGGCATGCAGTCGCTATGGCAACGCAGCAACAACCACAACACCGATACCAACAACAGCACCACCACCAACACCGTGACCATCGCCACCATCAATACCAACAACACTTACCGCCAACACCGCTAACAATACCACCGCCAACACAACTATCACCACCGCTACCTAAAATATCAATGATCCCTCCCCCATCAATAACATCGCCACCGCCGCCCCCCCCACCAAAACGATAACACCTCCATCACTGTCATTAGCCACACGCACACTGGCAGCATGCACACACAGGCAGGATCACACACACACACAGCGCTACTGCAGCAGGGCCTTGTGTAGGGGTTTGCAGGGCGGCAGGGACCTTGTCGAAGGAGCGCAGGTCGTACAGCTTCACCATCTCCGAGTTGAGTCCCGCGGCGAAGATGAGGCCCTCGGGGTCGAAGGAGCACACAGGGCGGCCTTGCAGGTGCATCAGCCCCTGAGACGCGGGAGCAAAGACGCGGCGACTCAAGCTCAGACCACCAACCGCACAGGCCGGCCACGCTGCCTCCACGCGGATTCCCCGACCGGCCCCAGCTAGCAATGCCCAGCGAAAGCGCGTCCGCTGTTTGTTGCAGAGGTTCATGGCTCGAATTCGGCAGGCCACCCTGGTTAATACTGCCAGTGCGTTGTCCATCAAACACCGCATGCCGTCCACTGCGCGGTGGACTTCAATGATGCTGTGACGTCACTCTGAGGAGGCCATTGTGTGCCAGCATCATGGTCCAAATTTGTAAGATTACTCTGCAGATTACTTAATTTGAAAATGCATTGAAATCGTGGCCCCTACTCCAAAAACCTATCAGGGGACCCTCCTGAAAAGTTTCTTAAGAATCAGTGAGGCCTCCCTGGGCGAGAAGCTGCGGCCACAACTGCCACCAGAGCCGCAGCCCAGCTCCATGCAGCAGCCTTATCGTGACCGCATCCACCCCTCGTCGTCCGCAATCGGCCACGGGCGTTGTGAGCTCCTGGCTGCTCTGCATCACAGACTCCAAGTTGAACAACAAAGCACTGCAGCAGCAGCCACCTCCTCTGATCCCAGGTGTCTCTCTTCGCCGGTCACAGACGTTAATATTAATTCTTGTTTACCCAGGAAAGCCTCACTGAGCCTCGTAGTAGGGCGCGACGGTTACTATAATTCGAATTGAATGTGTGGGAAATTTTCTTTTGTACAGTGACGTCGGCACACAATGGCATACGTCGTCGCAGGTTATTTAACGCCCACTGTGCAGCAGCAGACAGTATGAGTATTGTGGTTATTACACCTGCAGTAATAATCAGGGCGGCAGCTTGATTCGACCCACCAGCCTCTGCCTCTGCAATAAGTGACGAACACGTGGTACTGTACTTACTACTCGGCTGCATCACCGCCCCAAGCTCCCCTACTTCCAGATCTCAAACCTCACATTGTCATGCTCCATCCCCTCGCCACTCATCTTCCATAAAACATCCTGACCCATCCACATGGAGAAGTCAGCACCACTCTACACGCTCCCTCCAGCTGGATCTGTAAACTCCCTCACCATAATTCTCTTCTCACCCCTCCACTAATTTCAGTGACATCCAAACAATTCCAAAGCTTCCCTAAGGTTAACTCGGCCTTAAACGAGTACCTGGCGTGGTGCGTAAACGACGGCACTGGGGAGACAAATCCGGCCGGACATGATTCTGACCACACAGGTCTCAATCAGTGCTCGCTAACAGCACTTGCCCCAGCAGCCTGTGTGGACTACATGGGGGATCTTTGTGTTTATGTGTGTGCAGTCACACACCTGGCAATTGGGGGAGCGCAGGTCCCAGAGACGGATGGTCTTGTCGAGCGAAGCGGAGATGAAGGTATCATCCACGGGGGACATGCAAAGAGCAACCACTCTGCCACACATCACACGCACAGACGTACACACACATACACACACAGACGTACACACACAGACGTACACACACACAAGACGTACACACACACGTACACGCGCAAACATACACACACAGATGTACACACATACACACGCACACAAGCGTTTACCACTCGCGCAAAGAGGCGTAGATCAAGTGCAACATGATAGGATTAAACATGCAAGAAGCACGGCACTTACTTCTTGGTGTGTCCTGGGAAGTAGCGGATGTACTTGTTGTCATGCAGCGACAGGTACCGGATCGTGTCTGAAACAAAGCAGGCTTCTTAATATCGGAGCATTGTCAAGTTTACTTCCACGATAAGCCCAGCAGTGCAGATGCACAGATCTCCTCACCAAGCCGTCAGGGTCGGGCAGGAACAAGCAGCAAGCCACGACGATTGTCCCGCTCGCTGTCAAAGCGGACACTGCGACTCCCCTCTCGGCAAGCACCACAGCCGAGGCCCACGACGCTCGGGGCCAACCCCGGAGCCCTACCCCGGCTCCCAATTCACACGCAACGCCACTCCAAGACCCACCGAGACCTTGCCTCCAACCCTCTCGCCAACCCCAACCCCATCCACTCCCTCCGCTTCCACGCCTCCTCTCATCCATGCTGTACATCTCAGCAACGCAAGGCCTCTCCTCCTCTACCCGGGCTCCCTCACTGCTTGGACTCCCCTAAAAGCCTCAAGATAAATCCGTGACGAGGCTTTGTGACAAACGCACGTGACTCTCTTTTGATTGGATCAATGCTTCCTGCCTCGCAAAGTCGTCGTGTTGATTAACAAACACAGAGATTGTGCAATCTTCTGTATTACATGCCTAACCTCGTCACTTTCCTTTTCTCAATGCTATGATTTTAAATGCAATTGTATAATTTACTCCGCCTAATTCACATTGTGATGTTAACGTAGTGGAGTCTGTTTAATGTAAATGCTTGTAGAGTATTGCGTTCTTAAATGGTTCTCGCTGTGAGCGAGGTCACCCTCGCCAGAGTGGCAGTGCCGCTCGACGCGTCTCATCTCCCGGTCGCTTGCACGGAGGAGACGGCCACAGCTCCACGTCTCCTCCTCCACCCCCGGCGGGGTTCACCTTCTCTCCTCTCGACAGATCCGCACACATTCTCCCCGCGTGCATAACACGCGAACCTTGTATCCAGAAGAGCCACTCTGAAGCCCACGCGTGCGAGGCGGCAACCCTCAATCCCCGTACAGATGGAAACAGATGGCGATCAGTCTACTTGCTATACTACCCTCTGGCGAGCCGGGGTACGGAGGGGTGTTGGCGGGGCGTACCGTCGATCTTGTTGGAGCTGTACACCACGGTGTTGGCGGCGTGCGTGTAGCGGATGAGATCCACCCCGTACTTCTTGCTGTAGAGCGTCCTCTTGGGCCTGACGGAGCGGAGTGTCGGGGCCGTTAGAGGCGCCGCGGGTCGGGAACCCGTCACCGTAGCCTCGGCTCGCGGCTCGCGGCTCCCGTCCAGACTCACGCGAGGCTCGCGATGACCACTCGGCCACGCGAAGATTCGCCACAAAACAGCCGAGCCGATTCTATCAACCCACCCCGTCTCATCTCCCACCGTGACGATGGAGGTGGTGCTCGTGATTATGGAGGTGACCTGCTGCTGACCCGCGGCACTCACTTGCCCTCCTGGCAGTCGTAGAGCACGATGGAGTCGTCGTCGCTGCTGGAGATCATGGTCTCGCCATTGGGCGCGAAGTCGAAGCAGTTGATCTTGTCCGAGTTCTCGCGGAAAACCTTGGCCACCCTGAAGCTCCTCATCACGTTGTCGGTCAGCTTCATGGCTGCCGGTGCTCGGGGGTCACGGCTCTGCGTGGAGAGAGGAGCCGACAGCCGTCTCCGAGTCTCTCAGGGCCCCAGTGTCTCAAACCGTGTCTCTCTCCCCGTGTCTCTCGTGTCTCTCCCCGTGTCTCTCCCCGTGTCTCTCCCCGTGTCTCTCCCCGTGTCTCACCCCGTGTCTCACCCCGTGTCTCTCCCCGTGTCTCCCCGTGTCTCACCTTTGTCTCCCTCTCCCCGTGTCTCTCCCCGTGTCTCACCTTTGTCTCACCTTTGTCTCCCCGCGTGTCTCTCTCTCCCCGTGTCTCCCTCTCCTCGTGTCTCCCTCTCCGTGTCTCCCCGCGTGTCTCTCTCCGTGTCTCTCTCCGTGTCTGTCCGCGCGCCTCCACGCACCCGCGCGAACAGCACCGGAAGGGAACTCGCGCGGCGGGCTCAGAGGTCACGATACTACTTCCGGAAGAGTACGGGGGGGAGGGGGCTAAAGTGGGTGGGGCTAAAGCGGGGGGTAGGCGGGGCCAGAGCCCAAGGAGGGGCGGGGCTGGAGGGGGGCCATGCCCCGCTGTGAGTGGGGAGCGGTGGCGCCGCGCTGAGCGCAGTGCGACCCCACGCGGTCGCCCGACCACGTGGGGTCGCACGCGGCCACGCCGACGTCAGCGGTGAATGTCGGAACGGGTCTCGGCTCTACGCTCGGTCGACTCGGCTGTAGCGGTGTGTCGGCATCGCCACTGGGGAGACAAAGGCGACCGGGCGTGGTTCTCGCCACACCACCCCGCATAGGTGCGCCGTACCGGTCTTAATAGGTGCTCGCTAAGGGGCCGTCCATAAATGACGTCATGCACCTAGGGGGGAGGGGGGTCAGACATTTGTGACGAAGTGTGACGAGAGGGGGAGGGGGTTGAGAAATGTGACGTCACATCAAAATGCGCAACTTTAAATAAATATGAATTTCATATAATTGTTATAACATTAATATTGATTATTTTTCATTATTAACTAGTTGATTATTTAAATTTACTAAGTTCACCTTTTATTTATTCCGTGAAGGAGAATTTTGCTTCTCCATTGGAGAATGGAGAAGCATACATTTTGTACATTTTTTGAATGATTGTTATTAAACATTTAGATTCTAATGATTCTTCCAGGGCTTTTCATTCTGTGGAATGAATATATGATTGTTATAATTGTACTGTCCATTTTGCTTTGTTCTACTACAAAGTTTAAAGTATTTATAAGAGAATTTCAATGTAATATTCTGAACATCTGCAGTTTTAGTTAGACGTTGAATATTTTCAAGTGACCTTTATGCCAAATTTCAGATTTCCAACGTCTTTTTAATACGTGTTTCTCCTACACCATCAGAGTGCAGCGCCACATTAAATACGCGCTACAATGACAATAGTTTAAAGCGATTTGAAGCATGTTTTATTTTCAAAATGCAAATATGGTTTTGTGGGGAGGGGGGGGCAGAGCTTTGTGACGTTATATTTGAGGGGGGTCTGACTTTTTGTGACGCCGTGTGACGAGGGGGGGAGGGGGGTCAAAATCGGCCAAAATCGCGTGACGTCATTTATGGACGGCCTCCAACAGCACTTTCCCCAAGAGACTGTGTGGACTCCACGGTTCGATCTCTCTTCCACGAGTAGCTGTCGCGTGCCAGTGACCGTGAAGGGCCTTGTTCTGTTATTTGTCAACAAATCAAACATTTGTGAAAACGGCACGTCTTAAGATATTGGTGAAAATACAACATTTAAGGATCAAACATAGCAACATGTATTGAGCCAGAGAATACATCGTTTTTATGTTATTTAATCATGAGACCGATCCATACAAGTGTGGGGGCCCACGTCTACCCCACCGCCCTCCTCCACCGCGTCGGGCAGCTCCCGCCGGCCCCCCACGCCGACCGCGTGATCGGGCCCCCCATGCTGGCGCCCTCTCCGAGGGACAGACTCACGCGGCTGGCTCACCGCCGCACGGAGTTACTCCACACGCCCGCGTACACCACCACAGCTGACGCGGCGGCACGAACGCGCGCGTTTCCCCACGCAGTCGCTCCACACACACATCACAGACACTACACCGATGCTCTGTGCTAACTTTTATTCACGGCGCAAACCCTGCACTACCCAGAGGGAATATTCTACGAGCAGAGCCTAGCCTACTGCTACCCAAGTCCCCAAATACTCACACGCCCGATCACGTACCTCGCAGCTGTACTCACGGCGTCGCACGGATGCTGTGAGAGTCGGAAGAAGGATGACGAAAAAACCTCGCCTATCACTGCCTCGTAGCAGCACTCGCTGGCATCACACGGATGCTGCGAGCGGCTCGAGGAGGCAGGACGGCAGGAGCTTGGCGACCAAGATGTTGAAGAATTCTCATCTGAAGGGTTTTAGGCTCCTTTTTTATGCTCCTCGACTTCAACAATCCAGGGTTACGTTATCCAGCGCAGCCAATCGTGCGCCTACCTGTGATTCTCGCTCGTTTTCCTTCCCTTACATGGAGCGTTGCGACAGTTACTTCTGCAACCTATTGTCTGTCTATGCAGCCGTACTCATTAATTTGACTCAACCTGTTTGATCTGGAAGGACGTCTGGCTGGCGAGTACGCACCCTGCTCGTGTGTACTCGGTCTGGCGCCGGGGGAGGTCGTGGCGCTGGGGGAGGTCGTGGCCCTGTGATCCCCTGACCTCATTGTCATATTTCCCACCAGCCCCCCTCCCCGATGTCGTGCATCACTCATTGTGGCTGGCCCGGTGAACCTTTCTGCGCCCATATAATTTTAAGACAATTTAGAGGCACCGCAATGTGACTTGTTTTGCGAGGGTCGCCCAATCTCCTGGCACCGGGAAACCGCGGGACTTTCCCTCTAGGGACCCTTCGGATTAAACCCCGTTGTGCCAGGCAATCCCCCACCGGGACGCTGCGTCTAACACACTTGGACTGCGCACACTGTGCCCTCGCCTTCAACTCCACCTCTATCTCTCCCCCCCTCTCTCTACTCCCCCCCCCATTGTCCAACACACTCGCTTTACTCCGACATGTGCACTGGCTGCCCTGCCCATGCTGTTTACGCCACACAGCTTTGCTCACTTTGAAATCCCTTAGAAGCAGTCGCATTTGGAGGCTTTCCGCCTCTTTTTTCTCCGCCTGATGAAGACGATCGACAGACACCGTGGTTTACAACAAAGCTCGGAATTAACTTGAGTTTAATATGGCAGCATTTTATTTACACGAGTGAACGGGTCCTTTTAAATCAAGTACTGTATAGCAAAGACCTCATTTAGCAAACCCATGTATTTAAGGTTTGAAGTTGTATTATTCATGATCGTAGAGAGAAGTTTATCTGCAACGTTGCTGAATTACCAGCTCACTTCACCTTCATAATTAGCTCAAAAATAGAGATGGCCGGGTGGCTCAGAGGCCAGAGCCCTGAGCTAACACCGCTGAGACCCGGGGTTTGAATCCAGGTTCTAGCAACCTGTGATTATTATTTTTTTTTAAACATAAAATGTAACCTTAAATTATAGTTTAGTTTACTGGAAGGGTTTGGTGATCAGAGCAATGTCTCCGTGGGCCACGCAACACCGCGACAAACGAGCGAGTGCGTGAGAGGACCATTCTGTTGTCATTGAAGAAACTGCAGTGCATTCTACAGCTGGGCCAATGGAGAGAACTAGGCGGAATAAGCAAGACACAAAAATGGACACGAACTAATCCTTGACACAAATGGGGGTGGCCCCGAATCGTGATAGTCCACGTAATGGTTGGGGGGGCAGGGGAGGGGGGCAAGGAGGTGGCGAGCGAGCGGGCGACGCGGCTCCGCGAGTGGCGCCCGTGCCGCTGTGCCGCACGGGCGACGGGCGCCGCTTCTCTGCACTCGTGCACACTGCGCAGCTGCACGTTGTTGGGACGGCCACATTCCCTCAGCTCCTTGAGTTGGTGGTTCTCAACCACAAAACTGCCAAACAGTTATTTTGAGTTGGTGGTCTAGATAAGGCTACGAGCTTTTGTTATGATGGGGTTCCTTGCAATCTACAGATGATAATTGTGTGGATTCCCCTGTCTGATGTACCCGTGATGTTTGTTGAGTGAATGGCCCGGTGCAAGTGAAGCCGCTCGCCCGGCGAGGACACCGCCGTACAGCGGCGGCAAGGAGACGTCCGCATCGCTGCAAAGGGCAGCGGCGTTCCACATCCAACGCTGGCCTCCTCAGTCGAGGAAGAAGATATTGCTGAAGTGGGTGACAGACAGCTTCTTCACTTCCTCTGTGGCGACAAGAGAGAAATGCAAATGACATTTGACCCCACGCGCACGCGAGGGATGGTGGTGAGCTCGGCGCGGCTGTCCACACAGAAAGTGCTTGAATCGGGAATCGAACCAAGGGACTTGTTACTGTGAGGTGCCCAGGCTTTCCCAAGAACAAGCATGAATCTTAATTTTAAAGCAGAAAATACATCCGTTTGTTTGTGTGAAGCAGCAAAAACTCTCGAACGCTGAGCTCTGGTGTCATGAAATTTGCACAGCTTAATGCTGTCTAGAATTTCTAAGTCAATGCGACTATTTTCGGCTCGCTACGTCATTCCCTTCCAGAGTTGCCAAAATCAACCTTACGTATAAGTGGGTCAAGGCCACCACAGTGAGACCACGTGATGCATTACTCACAATACCCCCACAGTGTTACCACGTGACACATTACTGACAATATCTTGTTCGGCTTGCATTTGCAATCACCATTAATACATCGCAGGGACAGTCACTTAAAGCTACGGGCTTGGATTTGACAGACGAATTCTGTATGTTGGAATGTCAACAAACTATACATTGTCAGCGATGAAGAAACAGAAACCAAAAATGTTGTGTATGGCCAAGTGTTGAAATAATCACACTATGAATAAATAATTTGTGATGACTGAATTAGTTACATTTATTTGTTTCGCCTTTTTTCTTTATTGCAAGCATCAATTTTTTTCAGGGTTTTTCAGTAAAATATAAGGGAATATGAAATTAATCCTAGACAATAATCCAAGTCCCGGGCGAAACCGGGTAGTAAAGCTAGTATAATAATAAAAACCCAATGAGTTGGCCACACACAGGAAGCTCAACCTGTGGCACAGGCTATGGGCGGACGTGACACAGGAGCTAAGGGGGCCTCACGTAATCTTGTCTCACAACATCCATGCGCAAAGAGTATCGGTGGATTTGATACCAGAAAGTAAACAGTGGGGTGCTGAGTTCCAGCTGCAAGGACTGGATAGTTAGATGGCGAGATTTCAGGAACACAGTTGTTTTGCTGTGATTTCTATTTGATTAATTATTGTTTATGCTCTTGCTTTTGTCATTTGGTGACCCAGATTACTCTTGCAAAGTGAGCCTCCATCCTCGTCTCTTGAGCTCTCACATGGCTGAACAAAATCAACGTGGGTTTTGTTTAGCCAGGTAAGAGCAACAGCTGTGACTGTAAGAGCAACAGCTGTGCGAGTTTGCAGCGGGCAACGTGCGGCAGTGTGAGGAGCGGAGGCCACGTGCGGCAGTGTGAGGAGCGGAGGCCACGCGCACCGTTGACCTCGATGAGGTTGGCGTTCTTCTGGCTGAGGATGATGTAGAGCTCGCGCTGGTCAGACTTCTTCCCCACCACCCAGTAGTCGGACATGGCCTTCACAACTACCTCCTCGTCCTCGCTGGCCCTGCACAGACAACGCGAGCTCCCGCATCGGTGCACAACTCCTGCTTAAGGCTCTCAGTCAGTGGTGGAAATTCTACATTGCTATGAAAGCAGCGAGTCTGCTCCACAAAGAGGTATTGTACTCGTATTATATACTCTAATTGTTCCTGGAGTCTCAGTACCCGATGTGGTCTCAGATTGGTGTAGTGTTAGGGATATAGGTTCGCACTATGGTCTATGAGTTTGGGGTATAGGTTCGTGCTATGGGCTTTGGGTTATGGGTTATGGCTTCGGCCTATGGGTTCGGGTTGTGGGTTTGGACTATGGGTTCGAGCTATGGGTTTGGGTTATGAGTTCAGGTTATGGGTTGGAGCTCGGTGTAGGCGTGGGGCCGTGGTTGCAGCCGAGGCTGCGTGCGGTCACCTGGTGAAGTCGCCGTGCACGTCCCCCAAGATGCGCATGAGCTCGGGCGGCGCGTTTGCCGGCGCCACAGCGTGCGCTGCGCGCCGCCCGTGCAGCGTCGTCTTCTCCGCCAGGTTCATGCGGTTGAAGTAAATGAACTTGAACTGTGGCTCCTTGTCGGACCTGGCCAGACGCACGGCGAGACGGGGCCATCGTCGCGTCAAATGGGTCCCAGCGCGCCACCCTCCACGTCGTCACGTGCGGCCAAACCTCCGGCGAGCTCTATCGAGCTCATCTCTTCTTTACAGCCGTCGGTCGGTGGTGGAAAGTCTACGTTCCTATGGCAGGGGTGAGTCTATCCATAGCACAACCGCTGTTGACTTCCCCGCAAAGTGGTACGGCAAGTCTTCGCTTAACGCCGTGGTGTTCGCACAACGCGTTGCCGCTATAACGCGGTTCTTCCATTCGGGAACACCTTTTGCCCATTCTCATGTAACACGGTTCATGAGCGGTCGACGACAAACCACTTTCTTGAGCTGCGTGGATGAGCGGTACAGTGATACAGTACGTGGAATGATATAGTAATGTGGTGGCATACCCTCAGTTATTAGTCCCGCCATATTACTGTGTGTGTGTGTACATCGCATCTCGACAAACTTTATCGTTACATTATTTATGGTGAAATATTTTTTGCTTTAAGTGTGTTTCGCTTTACGTGGTACTTTTGAGGAATGCATCTACCGCGTTAAACGAGGACTTACCATACTTTATCAACCACGTACAGATGACGGTCTGAGTCGACCCCCCAACCAGGATTTGAATTCGCGACCTTCCGAATGTTGGGAGCGGTTCGCTCAAGCGCGGACCCACCGGGCGGGATATTTGAGCGCAACACACAAACCCAAATTCGTGCACGAGCAGACCTCTCAAACGCGACGCAGGCAGCTCCACGCGCGGGGACAGCCAACGACGACGAGGATTGCGTCGGGGGCCAAGAATCGCAGCGGGCAGAGCGATGTGGAGTGTGAGAGTGTTGTGGAGTGTGGAAGTGAGGTGGAGTGATGTCGAGTTACGTGGAGTGATGTGTAGGAGTGTTGGAGTGGGAAGGCTGGTGGCAGTGTTGTGGACAATCTGGAGTGTCACTGGAGTGGGAATCTGCTCTGCCTGTGCACGTTGTTTTTGTTGTTGCGAGCGAGCGAGCAAGTGAGCGAGCGTGCGAGTGCGTCGTGAACTCGGTGCTGCCGAGGTAGGCGACAGCCGCTACTCACGCGGCGCGCCGATTGACCGTGAACTGCTCCGCAATGTCGGAGGCTAGGAGCGTCAGCTGCGGACCCACCAGCCGGTCCAGCTCCCGGAAGTAATCGATGGTGAGATCCACGGAGGCTGCGGGGCAGGGGACAGGATAAAGTACATGACGCGCCACACCGTGCGGCACACGGCACATACAACGCGCCGACCACAAAGTTCACTATAAACAGCTAGGTTTTCATAGCCACTATCATTATTCAAAATATTTAATGTTTCTGATACATATGTTGCGTCGTAGAACCACGCGGAGACGGAACTTCTTGTAAGGGCTTTCGCCGTTTATTAACACAGGTTAAACACTCAGGCTCACACCAGGGGTAGGTGTTCTCTATGCTCGGTCCTTCCCGTGGACCCCCAAGCTCTACTCGTCCTAGCCCCGGCTATCCCTTGGGCTCTCTCACTCGGGCCGGGACGGGGGTTCATCCAACACCGCCCGGCCGAGGAGAGAAGAACCCCACTCACTCCCAGCAGATTCTCACAGACTTCTTGGAGCCCTACTCTCGCCTATCTCTTCGGCTCACCCACTCGTCGACCCCGGACGGGGGTTCATCCAACACCGTCCGGTCGCGAGCGGGAGAGACCTCCTGCAGCCGATCCACACTCCGGGCTCCCACAACGACCACGCCTTCGTCACGGGGGCCCCCTTGAGTACCCCGTGGGCGGCTCCTCCCCTTCACTCGCCCCTGTGCCCGAAGGTATCCTCCCTTACAGCACCCATGACATGACGTCATCACACTACTCCTCTACACATATCCACACGTCTCCCCACATAGAAAAATAAACAAGCAGATCCTACACAATTATCAGCCACACCGATTTCTGGAAGTGTGTAATTTCAGCAGCTTTGATGCAGAACAAGCAAACTCTGGAACGATTTTGACATGCAGTATCTTATCAGCAGCAGAACAGGCTTGCTTGGATCAATGCTGGTGATCTGCCAAATGTTATAGACAAGACACCATATTTAAGATATATGTCCTAGTTTGTCATGTTGGTGACTCAGGTTATTCATCCTGGTCTTTAGAGTTCTCACCTGGATAAACAACATCAACTTGCCACGAGAACTTGGTACTGAGCGCACACAATGTCACCACAGCACTTGTGCCAGGCTAGGTGCAATTTGAGGCCACGTGAATTAAGTGTCGAAGGATTTCTAGCAGTAAGTCACGGGATAGACCCAAGTGCCATGGGTTGACTGACTGATATGACTGGCAGAGGCACCAAATGAGCACACACACACAAACACACAGACAAACACTTACCGTCCACCATGAAGCACACGGCCGCACTCAGCGCCTGGGAAGGCATGGAAACGCAGGATGAGCAGAGTACAAATTACGACGACGACGACTACGCTGCTTGTGTACCCCGGAGGGTTCTGCCCGGCTGTCCCAGTGCAGCTGCTGGCATCGCAGCACAGCGAGCGGGACAGGTGCGAGCGCCCTCCCTGCGGAGCGCGCAGCGGACGTGCGGTGAGGAGGGCGCACCTTGTAGACTATGAGGTGCAGCTCCTGGGGCGCTGTGTTGGTGGTGACGAAGATGCGGGGCACACGCACCGACCCGCCCGGCTCCGACAGGCTGCTGGGGCCCAGCAGGAACCTGCGCGCTCACACACTTGTCTATTATTGTTCTTGTTCTGTTTACGCTTTGTTTACACAGGAATGTCTCGGCGCTTCACAGCACGAATGGCCTGAGTTCCATTGTCAACTGGGGCGCGTGTCTGCGTGGGGTCTGTATGTTCTCTCTCCCCCTGTTCTGCAGCGGTTTCCTCCGGGTTCCTCCTATAGCTAAAAACAATACACAAAGTGTAACTGGTGTTAGCCTAACACCCCAGTTCTTAAATAACCACCTCCATATTACTCAACTGCGATTACACGCAGTGGCAACATCACCACTTTATGCAAAAACTTAGCAGGACCCTCCTGAAAAGAGTCTGGGGACTCGGTGAGTGTTTCCTGCGTAAACAAGCGGAATCATAACGAGTAGTGTACAATCATTGCAACAATCTATTTGCTGTACTGCCATATCCTGGCAAGCCAGGAGATGGCGGTGTTGCGAGGGAGATGTCTCACCTGCCGTAGTGCTGCGGGTTCGTGGGGCTGCCGCTGCGAATGGGAGATTCCTTCCCTGCCAGCTGCACACACAGAACGCAACCGGCAGCCACGGTCCACTCAAAGCGGCGAGCGACCGGAACGTGTCACACCCTCGCGTCACTTCTCACAGAGCGCCGTCGTACAGTAAAATCATACACCCGACGGAATCACGGATCAGCTCATATATAGAAGAAAGTAGGCGTGGTGTTGCCCGTAGGGGCCTATGTCTGCCCATATATGGTCTTGTGAAACCTGAATCGAGGTGTCTATTGTATCGATTCTGCTCACAGTGGATCCAACAGCCACGTTAGAATATCGATACTACGAGGGTTAACCACTTGCGTCGATTGACAATTGATGCACGGACCGAGTAATCCCATTGGTTAGTATAGTGTCACGTGAAACGCCCCCTTTTCTTGATTGGCAAATAGCTGCGTGATCGGAGATTCGCTCGCAATCCGTTTTCATCACGTGTCACAGCGCCCTTCTCGCCGGGGCCGCGTCCCACAGCACTTGGGGTGCCACAAACGACGCTCATTATAGTGGAGACGGCCGTTCAAAGCGCCCGTGGGGAAGCGACCGCACGTCATCCCGACAGCTGCAGATGGCGAAGGGGCGAGAGGGGGAAGGGGCTGGCGGCTCTCACCTCTGCCTCCACCGTGCTGGGGAACAGCGACGTGGTGAGATACTTGTAGAGGATCCGCATGTCCTCTTGCTCCAAGCCGCTCCTGCGCATGTAGACAAAGGTTCACCGCGTAGCCTCCGATTATCACGGTTGGCTACGTACGATGCGAAAGAAGTTCAAGATACGGACATACATATGTGCACGGCGCACTGGGTGCTCAATTAAGGCTGTGTCAACCTAGAGGAGACCCAGCGCCGGTTCAGATGTGGTCACCGATATTGGGCGTGAACGGAAATTGAACTCGGGTCACTGGGTTCGGAGCACGGTATGCTTACCGCTCCCCATACACACGAATAGACACACACAGACACACACGTATAGACACACACGTATAGACACACGTATAGACACACACACACGTATAGACACACACGTATAGACACACACATACACACACGTTTAGACAAACACACACACGTATAAACACACACACACACACGAATACACACACACACGAATACACACACACACACGTGTAGACACACACACGTATAGACACACACACGTATAGACACACACACACACATATAGAGACACACACACACGTATAGACACACACACACACGTATACACGTATAGACACACACACTCGCGCAGATACCCTAATACACACACTCACTCACCACACGAGCCCCTCTCACTCACCACACGAGCTGTTCGTGGTACAGGAAGGCCGTGCAGGACACGGCGCTGAGCGCGGCCTCTACGCGGTTGACAAACGACTGCACCTTGAGGTACGTCATCTTGTCCAGCGGGAAGAACGTGATGCCGCCCAGGGCGTCCAGCAGGTCGCACTGCGCCAGGCGCAGCGTAGGCAGGTACTGGGGAGAGCGCACCAACGCCACGGCAGCGTCACAACTACTCTGTGCTCACACGTGTGCTGAGCACAGACGCAAAGGTTCAGAAAATCAAGTTTAGAGCAACAAATGGCATTTAGAGGTGAGGAATCTCCTTCTAACTACCGCCACCTCCTGGCTTGCCAGAGTATGGCAGTTGAGCAAGTGGATTATTATTATCTGCACATTTACTCAAGAAAGCCTCACAGAGTCTCAAGACTCTTTTCCAGGAGGATCCTGCCACGTTTGTCGCAGTATGGGGCGATGCTGCTGCTGTTGCTGCTGCGTGATTTCAAATGGGGGGGTTCCCGTGCAATACCTTTCTCCTCCATTGACACTACATCTCCGCGTGGCAATACCTCCTCCAGTAGCAATGCGCGCTGCGGGTGGGAATGCGTAGCCCACGTGGCAATACCTCCTCCAGTAGCAATGCCCGCTGCGGGTGGGAATGCGTAGCCCACGTGGCAATACCTCCTCCAGTAGCAATGCCCGCTGCGGGTGGGAATGCGTAGCCCACGTGGCAATACCTCCTCCAGTAGCAATGCCCGCTGCGGGTGGGAATGCGTAGCCCACGTGGCAATACCCCGTCCTCGTGGCTGCTGCTCGGTGGGAGTTTTGTGAACACCGTGGCTGGCGGGAAAGGGAGCGAGACTCACGCGCGAGAAGAATTCGTGCAGACGACGTTTGAGAGTCTCCACTCCACCTGCAGCCAAGGCCGTCTCAAACGTCCCTTTGAAAAGCTGCAACAGAACACACACGCATGCACACACAATGCTAGCATACACAACCAGCACTAACACACACAAAGATGTACATACACTAACACACACAATGCGTTCCACACACAACAACCGCCGTTCGTCATAAAGTGCCGGTGACGTAACTACGCTACTGATGTTGAGCTTCTTTCGCACCGTACGGAGCCAACCGTACTATCCGCCATGCTAAGTGCACAAATATACACGCACGGAACTCCACACAATACACAAAGACATATATACACACACAGTACACACATACATTTCAGATGGAGAATATTATGTGTAGGTGAATCTCACCGCAGTGTGACCGTTACCTTGTACATGCTGTAACTCTGTTGCAGGACAGCTTTGTAGACATTGTCCTGCAAGCAGACACGGACCTCTTATTGATTACGATTTTGCTCATGTCCCAGGAAATCCTTGCCAAGTCTCAAGACCTTTTTTCAGGACGGTCCTGCCAAGTTTGTCACAGTATTGGGTGACGTTGCTGTTGCTGTGTGAACGAATTTGAGTAATGTGCAGGTAATGTCTCCACATTGGGATGTTTGGCTGATACCGGTTCCATCGTGCATGTTGTTTTTAGCTATGGTCGGAAACCCAAGCAGATTGGCAGTGATGCCACACACGGTCTCAAGTGATCCGCGTTAGATCCGTGCGCATGCGAGATCCGGTGAGAGCCAAACTCACAAGCAGCTCCTCCTCCTGGTACTCGCGCGTGCGTGGTCCATCCTTCTCCTGCTTCTCCAACGTGGGGTTACTCACCACCTGGGCAAACCCCGCACAACCGCGCAGCACACACCACCAGAGAGCACACCACCGCACCACACGGAACATCACCGCACCGCATGGCACACCATCCCAGCGTACACCCACACACCACATACAAACGCGATATCATGTGACGGCCATAGCCGTTGATGTCCCCACTGCACTTCCTCGCGAGCGATGCTCTGCACCCTCCTGCAGACCCTGCAGCTGCTGCACAGAGACCCATAGACTCACACAGAGACCCATAGATCTGCTCTAACAGTCTCCCACCATCTGCTGTGAGGTTTTCTCTTGCCATCGGTCACCGAACTCGTGGGGACCGCTACGACGGTGCCCTCGGCAATTGGGCGGCACCAGCAGTGGGGGAGGGCCCCGAGCAGCCGAAGGCCGCGCCACGCGGCTGGAACCAAGAACAAAGTTCAAATCTCAAGTTTGTTGAGAAGCGCGTCTGCTCAGCTCGGTCTGCGGGAACAAGTGGCCAGCCCCAACCCGGGTACGCTGCTGAAGCCACGGCGTTCCCGCCGCCCGCGACGTCAACGCGGAGACGGCGAGGAGCGCCATCGCGCCGTGCCCGGCACAGAGCCGCGGCGGGGATGGAGGGGACCGAGGCCTCGGGGCCAGCGCGCTGTGCGGTGCCCCCCTCACCATCACCATCCAGAAGTTCTCCTCGGCCTCGAGGAAGAGCTGTCGGTTCGTCTGCGTGTGCAGTGCCTGCGCCGGTTCCTCCGTGCAGAACGTCCTGCAACAACACAAAGTTCCCCGTATTGTCTGAACAGACTGCTGGGACAAGTGCAGTTCACGGGTAGCACCTATGAATGCCGGCACGGCACATGAGGGGGTGGGTGGCCAGCACCACGCCCCAACACCTTTGTCTCTCCAGTCACACCTCACACAGTTACAACACACTGACAGTCACAGAACAAACACAGCCACAACACAGCCACAACACAGTGGTCACACCTTTTCCTCCTGGGTTGTATTCCCAACTAATGTGCATTACTGTGTGTATCTTCTTGCCATGTTCTGAATGGATTTCCTCCACGTTCTCCAATTTCCTCCATTAGCTAAAACAAATCCCCAATGTAAATGGTATCGCTCAAATGATCTCAATGCTCAAAAATCACACTGCAGATCACTCATTTGGGATGACAAACAGCAAAATCGCCACTTACTGTGAAAATTGTCAGGACCATCCTGAAACAGAATCCTGAGACTCGGCAAGCGTCAACGTGTAACGAGAAGAGCACGAACCTTGTGAACTGGACGATGGCTTCACACAGTCCCACACTTCGGATTTTATCGTCAATGTTGACTTCGGAAGGGTAATAGTACAGAATCTTCTTGTGTTCCTGGTGAACATAGAGTCAGAATAAAAATCAGTGATGAGTCAAGCAGCCTCAACCAAGCATCACTTAAACACCCAACATAGTTGATACAAGTCCGGCGCTCTTGTCATTCATCTACTGCTGGATAAGGGGCTGCCCACGCGAACTTCGCCGCACTGGGAAGTGCGTGTTGGTGAAGGCGGGGAGCGGCGTGGACACGGTAACCTAGAAGCATGGCGAATCAATGGATCAGGCGGAACTGCCCACTGCTGTCCACCAGAACATCTATCCAACAGATGGCAATGTCAGACTTTGTTTACAAAATTTAATTGGGAGAAATTCAAGTGTAAACATGAACTGAGAAAGTACAGTTTCACATTTGCTGATGACAATTATGATCACAACCGATGGAAGTGAACTACAAAGCCGACGTGTTAAACTACAAGACATTACTTAGATAATTTAACCGGGAGTATTCTCAGCGAGTCTCAAGACCCATGAAGGTCCTGCCTCACTGGATTACTCACCCACTCACCTACCCATTCACGCACTCACCCACTCACCTACCCATTCACGCACTCACCCACTCACCTACCCACCCACGCACTCACCCGCCTACCTCCTCACAGACCACGCGTGGAGCCTTAACAGACTGTTGGGGCAAGTTCGCGAGCACCGATAAAGGTCGGCAACGGCACACGAAGAGGTGAGTGGCCAGCACCACGCCGGGACCTACTCACCCACCCACCCACCTGTTTATTCACTCACCTACCCACCTGTTTATTCACTCACCTACTCACCCACCACCTGTTTATTCACTCACCTACTCACCCACCAACCCACTCATGCACCCACCCACTCACTAAACAATTACTATACTGGGCGGTGAGGTATCATCGCGCGTAAGCCGCTTGTTGTTGTTGCAGAGATCCGCGGTTCAAAATCCAGCGGCTGCCCTGATGAGAATCACTGCGGGTGTCGCAGTGGATGCCAAAGAGCCCCTCCGTCGGTCGTACGACTCGGCCACCGTGTGCCGGCGTCATTGTCGACATTTGCGAGGTTACAGACGCGGCAGACACCGTGGCCCCCGGCCTGGCAGCAGAAGGCAGCAGGCGACACTCGTCCTGCGGTCTGCTGCCCTGGCAACCTGCTGCCCTGGCAACCTGCTGCCCTGGCAACCTGCTGCCCTGGCAACCTGCTGCCCTGGAAACCTGCTGCCCACTCGCTCGCTGCTGAAAGCGTCGACTGCCAGCAGGCGTCGTGTGGCCGTGCAGGAGGGAGGCCCGTACCTCGCCCTCACGCGGCCCGAAGTCGGGGTTGTAGACGCAGAAGCTGACGAGGGCCGGCGAGGCGATGCCGCCCGGCTGCATGGCGCCGGCTCCGTGCGCCCTCTGCGCGGCGGTGCCCGCGCGAAGCTGCACAACGACAAAGTCATCATCACAGCCACTTGCCCTCACCGCGGTACCCACGGCAGTAGCCGCCGTGGTGGTACTCACGCTGTGTGTGTGTGGTACTCACGCTGTGTGTGTGTGGTACTCACGCTGTGTGGTACTCACGCTGTGTGGTACTCACACACACAGCGTGAGTACCACCACACGCTGTGTGTGGTACTCACACGCTGTGTGTGGTACTCACACGCTGTGTGTGTGGTACTCACACGCTGTGTGTGTGTGGTACTCACACGCTGTGTGTGGTACTCACACGCTGTGTGTGGTACTCACACGCTGTGTGTGGTACTCACACGCTGTGTGTGTGGTACTCACACGCTGTGTGTGGTACTCACACGCTGTGTGTGTGTGGTACTCACACGCTGTGTGTGGTACTCACACGCTGTGTGTGGTACTCACACGCTGTGTGTGTGGTACTCACACGCTGTGTGTGTGATACTCACACGCTGTGTGTGGTACTCACACGCTGTGTGTGTGTGGTACTCACGCGCTGTGTGTGTGGTACTCACACGCTGTGTGTGTGTGGTACTCACACGCTGTGTGTGTGGTACTCACACGCTGTGTGTGTGGTACTCACACGCTGTGTGTGTGGTACTCACACGCTGTGTGTGTGGTACTCACACGCTGTGTGTGGTACTCACACGCTGTGTGTGTGTGGTACTCACACGCTGTGTGTGGTACTCACACGCTGTGTGTGGTACTCACACGCTGTGTGTGTGGTACTCACACGCTGTGTGTGTGATACTCACACGCTGTGTGTGTGGTACTCACACGCTGTGTGTGTGGTACTCACGCGCTGTGTGTGTGGTACTCACACGCTGTGTGTGTGTGGTACTCACACGCTGTGTGTGTGGTACTCACACGCTGTGTGTGTGGTACTCACACGCTGTGTGTGTGGTACTCACACGCTGTGTGTGGTACTCACACGCTGTGTGTGTGTGGTACTCACACGCTGTGTGTGTGGTACTCACACGCTGTGTGTGTGGTACTCACACGCTGTGTGTTGGTGGTGTGGTACTCACACGCTGTGTGTGTGGTACTCACACGCTGTGTGTGTGATACTCCACGCTGTGTGTGTGTGGTACTCACACGCTGTGTGTGTACTCTCACACACTGTGTGTGTGTGAGTACCTACTCCGCTGCGTGTGTGAGTACCTACTCCGCTGTGTGTGGTACTAACACTGTGTGTGTGAGTACCTACTCCGCTGTGTGTGGTGGTACTCACGCTGTGTGTGTGAGTACCTACTCCGCTGTGTGACGTAGTCGCTACCGGGCGGGTGGAAGCGGCGACTGCCGCACGGCGCGGCAGCGTCACGAGGCGGGCGCGAGAATCGATTCTCGCGATTCCACCGCCGCCCCTCCGCCGTCCGCCCCTTTCCCTCCCCTCCGAGCCTCGCGTGGAAGGCGTCGCCGCTGCCCCCGCGTCTCCCGGCCCGGCCCGCGTCTCCCGGCCCCGTGGCCTCCCCAGGGAAGGCGGAACGAGCGCGGAACGAGCGCGGAACGCGGTAGAGGCAGGAATCGTGAGCCCGGGAATCTGCGCGCCGGAGAATCGTGGCAGAAAATCGATTCGGCCTTGAGAAGTAAGAGACCGCGTCGAACTTAACCTTGTGGGACGTCGCTGGGCCGTCTCTCGTCTCCGTCTCTCGCTGCTTCGGCGACCCAAGTGACAGCGCCTCCAGTTGGCGGCGCTTCCCAGAGAGATCATCTGGTAAGATCGCAGCCACACACAGACGTGCGCCTCCGGTAAGCACGGCTGGCTACGTACGGTACGAAACATACATTCGTGGTCGGCAGAAAGGGTCCGCGGCGAACTGACTCTGCCCCAGGCTGCCTGTTGTCTGCGTCAATGCGCGCAAGTGGAACTTGCGTGGCGCCGTGCGGAGCAGCCGTGCGGGAGAAACACAACAAACTCCACGAGGAGAAATTAGTTGTCAATCGAGATGATGATTTAGAAGTGCTTATATCCAGTTGCTTCAGAATACCGGAAGGCAGCAGCGCGGTCCAGATGGCCGCAGGACCGCGTCTGGAAGCGCGAGCGCTGCGGTGACCGCCGTCGAGGGCGGCAGCCACAAGCCGCCGCTGCCACAAGCAGCAGCCGCAGCAGCTGCTGCAGCAGTTGCGAGGATGGCCGCGGAGTTTGCATGATGGCTGATGATGATGGCTGATGATGATGGCCCTGGACGGCATCGGCACGGGAGGTCCACAGCGGGTGTCTGGCGCAGCCCCCGCCGTGGGAATGAGAAATGCCGACGAGGACGATGCCCCCCCCGTGTTGACCCCCCCCCGTGTTGACCCCCCCCCCGTGTTGACCCCCCCCCCGTGTTGACCCCCCCCCGTGTTGACCTCCCCCCCCCGTGTTGACCCCCCCCCCGTGTTGACCCCCCCCCGTGTTGACCTCCCCCCCGTGTTGACCCCCCCCCCGTGTTGACCCCCCCCCGTGTTGACCCCCCCCGTGTTGACCCCCCCCCCGTGTTGACCTCCCCCCCCCCGTGTTGACCCCCCCCCCCGTGTTGACCCCCCCCCGTGTTGACCCCCCACCCGTGTTGACCCCCCCCCGTGTTGACCCCCCCCGTATTGACCCCCCCGCCCCACATCCCCCCGCCCACATCCCCCCCGCCCCACATCCCCCCCGCCCCACATCCCCCCCGCCCCACATCCCCCCCGCCCGCCGAGTCGAGGTGCCGAGCTCAGAGTTCACGTCCTGCCAGACACGAAGCGAGCGAGACCCCCAGCACTCACCCCCAGCACTCACCCCCAGCACTCACCCCCAACACTCACCCCCAACACTCACCCCCAACACTCACCCCCAACACTCACCCCCAACACACACCCCTAGCACTCACCCCCAACACACACCCCCAGCACTCACCCCCAACACACACCCCCAGCACTCACCCCCAGCACTCACCCCTAGCACTCACCCCCAACACTCACCCCCAACACACACCCCTAGCACTCACCCCCAACACACACCCCCAGCACTCACCCCCAGCACTCACCCCTAGCACTCACCCCCAACACTCACTCCCAACACACACCCCTAGCACTCACCCCCAGCACTCACCCCCAACACTCACCCCCAACACTCACCCCCCAACACACACCCCCAGCACTCACCCCCAACACTCACCCCCAACACTCACCCCCAACACTCACCCCCAACACTCACCCCCAGCACTCACCCCCAACACTCACCCCCAGCACTCACCCCCAGCACTCACCCCCAGCACTCACCCCCAGCACTCACCCCCAGCACTCACCCCCAGCACTCACCCCCAACACTCACCCCCAACACTCCACCCCCAACACTCACCCCCAACACACACCCCTAGCACTCACCCCCAACACACACCCCCAGCACTCACCCCCAGCACTCACCCCTAGCACTCACCCCCAACACTCACCCCCAACACACACCCCCAGCACTCACCCCCAACACACACCCCCAGCACTCACCCCCAACATTCACCCCAGCACTCACCCCAGCACTCACCCCCAGCACTCACCCCCAACATTCACCCCCAGCACTCACCCCCAGCACTCACCCCCAGCACTCACCCCCAGCACTCACCCCCAGCACTCACCCCAGCACTCACCCCCAGCACTCACCCCCAACACTCACCCCCAACACACACCCCTAGCACTCACCCCCAACACACACCCCCAGCACTCACCCCCAGCACTCACCCCTAGCACTCACCCCCAACACTCACCCCCAACACACACCCCTAGCACTCACCCCCAACACACACCCCAGCACTCACCCCCAACATTCACCCCCAGCACTCACCCCCAGCACTCACCCCCAGCACTCACCCCCAGCACTCACCCCCAGCACTCACCCCCAGCACTCACCCCCAGCACTCACCCCCAACACACACCCCTAGCACTCACCCCCAACACACACCCCCAGCACTCACCCCCAACACACACCCCCAGCACTCACCCCCAACATTCACCCCCAGCACTCACCCCCAGCACTCACCCCCAGCACTCACCCCCAGCACTCACCCCCAGCACTCACCCCCAACACACACCCCTAGCACTCACCCCCAACACACACCCCCAGCACTCACCCCCAACACACACCCCCAGCACTCACCCCCAGCACTCACCCCCAGCACTCACCCCCAGCACTCACCCCCAACACACACCCCTAGCACTCACCCCCAACACACACCCCCAGCACTCACCCCCAACACACACCCCCAGCACTCACCCCCAGCACTCACCCCCAGCACTCACCCCCAACACACACCCCTAGCACTCACCCCCAACACACACCCCCAGCACTCACCCCCAACACACACCCCCAGCACTCACCCCCAGCACTCACCCCCAGCACTCACCCCCAACACACACCCCTAGCACTCACCCCCAACACACACCCCCAGCACTCGCCCCCAACACACACCCCCAGCACTCACCCCCAACACACACCCCCAGCACTCACCCCCAGCACTCACCCCCAGCACTCACCCCCAACACACACCCCTAGCACTCACCCCAACACACACCCCCAGCACTCACCCCCAACACACACCCCCAGCACTCACCCCCAGCACTCACCCCCAACACACACCCCTAGCACTCACCCCCAACACACACCCCTAGCACTCACCCCCAACACACACCCCCAGCACTCACCCCCAGCACTCACCCCCAGCACTCACCCCCAGCACTCACCCCCAACACACACCCCTAGCACTCACCCCCAACACACACCCCCAGCACTCACCCCCAACACACACCCCCAGCACTCACCCCCAACACACACCCCCAGCACTCACCCCCAGCACTCACCCCCAGCACTCACCCCCAACACACACCCCTAGCACTCACCCCCAACACACACCCCCAGCACTCACCCCCAACACACACCCCCAGCACTCACCCCCAGCACTCACCCCCAACACACACCCCTAGCACTCACCCCCAACACACACCCCCAGCACTCACCCCCAGCACTCACCCCCAGCACTCACCCCCAACACTCAGGTAGGAGCCCAGTAGGCCTCGGCAAGGTAAGGTAAAAGTTAAAAGGTAAAAGCAACGAGCCTACCTTTACCCTACCTTTATCCTCACCCCATACAATCACTCTACCCTACCTTTTACCCTCACCCCATACACATTACCCGATTACAGGGTCATTACTAGGGAACTACTACACATGAACAAGGTTTATAACGGTAAATGCTGGGTAGAGCGCTTTATTCATATAGAATACTCTCGATGATTCCAATTTTACACGCTTTCTATTAACTCACTGTCTGTTGTTGTCGTCATGCTTGTCGTCATTGTTGTATCCTCAAATCTTGCAACTCAATTTTTACCCACTTCCTAATGTGGTATCGACTGCAAACTTGGTATACTTATGTCTTACTGATGACAAAACTATATTATATCATTAAAAAAAAATATTTCTAAACATTTTTTATACGTTATGTTTTGGCTTGGGTCTAATTGTCCACGCTCAACTGACGTTGGCTGTAATTGGCCACGGTCCCTTACGTTATGGCAAGCTTCGGGGCCACTTCCTGGAGTCGTGGAGTTCTGCCAGTACTAGTACATTTAATAAAAGCGTGTTTAAAAAAAGTTTTTGTTTATATTACTTATTAAATGGAGGCCACGGACTGCGCCACGGAGCTTCTAGCGGTAAACAAGGTACTGTATTTACCGGGTAATACTTCGCCGCTACCTTTACCCTACCGGGTAATTCTGAGCTACCTTTACCCTACCCTTTACCTTACCCCTTGCCATGTAGACACCTTTACCCGTTTACCCGGTACAAAGGGTAAATTACCTTGCCTTGCCGAGGCCTAGAGCCCAGATCACTCACCCCCAACACCCCCAATACTCACCCCCAACACTCACCCCCAACACTCACCCCCAATACTGACCCCCAACACTCATCCACAAACCAGATCACTCACCCCTAGCACTCACCCCCAACACTCACCCCCAACACTCACCCACAAACTAGATCACTCACCCCTAGCACTCACCCACAAACCAGATCACTCACCCCCAACACTCACCCACAACACTCACCCACAAACCAGATCACTCACCCCCAACACTCACCCACAAACCAGATCACTCACCCCCAACACTCACCCAAAAACCAGATCACTCACCCCTAGCACTCACCCCAACACTCACCCACAAACTAGATCACTCACCCCTAGCACTCACCCACAAACCAGATCACTCACCCCCAACACTCACCCACAACACTCACCCACAAACCAGATCACTCACCCCCAACACTCACCCACAAACCAGATCACTCACCCCCAACACTCACCCAAAAACCAGATCACTCCGAGCATTCACCTCTAGTCCTTACACGTGCCCCCTGCTGAATGTATTTGACTGCAACCACGTGGTGCTGTTTGTTGCTGGCCGCTTGACGTTCTGTGCTCAGTGGCAACTGTGATTCGTATGAACACCCACCCACCCATGAACACGCACCTACCCATGAACACGCACCCACCCATGAACACGCACCCACCCGTGAACACGCACCCACCGTGAACACGCACCCACCCGTGAACACGCACCCACCCGTGAACACGCACCCACCCGTGAACACGCACCCACCCGTGAACACGCACCCACCCGTGAACACGCACCCACCCGTGAACACGCACCCACCCGTGAACACGCACCCACCCGTGAACACGCACCCACCCGTGAACACGCACCCACCCGTGAACACGCACCCACCCGTGAACACGCACCCACCCGTGAACACGCACACACCCGTGAACACGCACACACCCGTGAACACGCACACACCCGTGAACACGCACACACCCGTGAACACGCACACACCCGTGAACACGCACACACCCGTGAACACGCACACACCCGTGAACACGCACACACCCGTGAACACGCACCAACCCCTGAACACCCACCCACCCGTGAACACGCACCCACCCATGAACACGCACCCACCCGTGAACACGCACACACCCGTGAACACGCACACACCCGTGAACACGCACCAACCCCTGAACACCCACCCACCCATGAACACGCACCCACCCATGAACACGCACCCACCCGTGAACACGCACACACCCGTGAACACGCACACACCCATAAACACGCACCCACCCATGAACACGCACCCACCCGTGAACACGCACACACCCGTGAACACGCACACACCCGTGAACACGCACCAACCCCTGAACACCCACCCACCCATGAACACGCACCCACCCGTGAACACGCACCCACCCGTGAACACGCACACACCCGTGAACACGCACACACCCGTGAACACGCACACACCCGTGAACACGCACCAACCCCTGAACACCCACCCACCCATGAACACGCACCCACCCATGAACACGCACCCACCCATGAACACGCACCCACCCGTGAACACGCACACACCCGTGAACACGCACACACCCGTGAACACGCACCAACCCCTGAACACCCACCCACCCCTGAACACGCACCCACCCATGAACACGCACCCACCCGTGAACACGCACACACCCATGAACACGCACACACCCGTGAACACGCACACACCCGTGAACACGCACCAACCCCTGAACACCCACCCACCCCTGAACACGCACCCACCCATGAACACGCACACACCCGTGAACACCCACCCACCCCTGAACACGCACCCACCCATGAACACGCACACACCCGTGAACACGCACCCACCCGTGAACACGCACCCACCCGTGAACACGCACCCACCCCTGAACACGCACCCACCCATGAACACGCACCCACCCATGAACACGCACCCACCCGTGAACACGCACCCACCCATGAACACCCACCCACCCATGAACACGCACACACCCATGAACACGCACACACCCATGAACACGCACCCACCCATGAACACGCACCCACCCATGAACACGCACCCACCCATGAACACCCACCCACCCATGAACACGCACACACCCATGAACACGCACACACCCATGAACACCCACCCACCCCTGAACACGCACACACCCATGAACACGCACACACCCGTGAACACGCACACACCCGTGAACACGCACCCACCCATGAACACCCACCCACCCCTGAACACGCACACACCCATGAACACGCACACACCCGTGAACACGCACACACCCGTGAACACGCACCCACCCGTGAACACGCACCCACCCATGAACATGCACACACCCATGAACACGCACACACCCATGAACACGCACACACCCGTGAACACGCACACACCCGTGAACACGCACCCACCCGTGAACACGCACACACCCATGAACACGCACACACCCATGAACACGCACACACCCATGAACACGCACACACCCATGAACACGCACACACCCCTGAACACGCACCCACCCGTGAACACGCACCCACCCATGAGCACGCACACGAGGGCCTCCACTGCTGCTGCCTCACCCCCTGTGCAGGCCTCCAGCGGGCCCGGTGAGCGCCGCTGTGCGGCCACGAGCGACGTTCACGGCTCACTACCCCGTCCAGCACGAGTCGTGTGCTGGACGGGGTAGTGAGCCGTGAAGGTGACTTTGTCCTTCGCGGTACGCACTGCTGACTGCACAGAGGAGACTGCCATCTCATTTAGTGACTTGTGTTAATCACTAACTAACGACACACACACTCCCTCAGCCCAGATAACATCACGAGGCGATGTGGGGATGACCCTGCTGGGGCTGCCGTGCCTGAAATATTGAAAGTAGCCACCCCCTGTGAGTGGCTGGTGAGTTTCCATCTGTTGAGGAAGTAAGAAAGGCGATCTGGAGTCTGAGACCAGGATAAGCGTCGGGTTTCCCTTCGCCTCACCGCCGTACTCCTGTTCGCGTTCCTCTTCTGCGGTTTGCGCGAGCCAGGTCCGCCCCTCCGGCGCGGGACCCCACACCCGGCGCCATGTCGCTCCAGAGCAGCGGGCGGCAGCAGAGAGAAGCACACGGCGCCAGCGCAAGGGCGGAGGGGCAGCGGCAGCAGGAGGAGGAGGAGGAACGCCGGGAGGTGACCCTCTTCCGCGAGTACCTGCGCATCCGCACCGTGCACCCCGAACCCGACTACGGTGATTTTGCGGCGATCCGGCAGTGTGCACGTCCCGTTCCCACACCTCCCCCGACTCCTCGTCCGTCCCGTCGTCTCTCCCTCGTGCTGCGTGAATGCGTCGCGTGTAGCTCGGCTCGGGGGGCTGGGTGACTCACAAAGTTCCGTTTTGAACGTGGTCAAAAAGAAAAGCCAAAGTGATTTCTGGCTCAAATGAGCGTTGAGGAATTGGTGCTCATCTCGTGTTTTCAGCCCCAAGTCAGTGGTGGAAATTACACATTCCCATGGCGGAGCCAAGTCTCTGTGTAGGATAACGAGTGTTGACTTCGCAACAAAGCGGTACTGAAGGTAGATCACTTTAGTTGATGTTGTTGAACTAGGTGAGAACTCAAGAGCCTGGATGAGTCTCATTTCAGAATGTTTTTATCAGAATATTTATAAAAAAGCAAAACAAATAAAATGAAGTCACAGCAATAAAGCCAAATAGAAATGGGAGTAAAAAGATGACCGCATTACAGAATAAATCTACACAGTGCACAACCACACATCAATACGAAATCAAATGCATGTGCTGGAAAGAAAGTTGGCCTGGACAAATCAGGTTTAAAAACCGTTCACAGTAAAATGAAGTTACAGAAACATCAGCGTGGGTTGAGGTGATTGCTGCACCCGTGTGTACACAGAGGTGCAGTCAGACACGGTGCTGCTCCCTGGTGCAGCTGCTGCTGCCCATGCTGACCCGTGCTGACCCGTGCTGACCCGTGCTCCTGTGATCCTGTGATCCTGCCCATTCCCAGACTCTGCTGTTGCATTTTTGGAGCGCGTGGCCATCGATCTTGACCTTCCATTGAAGAAGTATGAGGTTGGTACCAAACGTTGCTTAGTGAATGGGTGTGCGAGCTTCCGTTACTGCTCTGTAATCCCAATTGAGTAATATGCATGGGTGATGGAGCGATGTAGAGACTGATACTGCTGATGAGCGTGGGTCGTGGTGGTGGGGAGCGGTAGTGTAGCGGGTAGCGCGCTGCGCTACGAACTCGGTGGCCCGAGTTCGATTCCCGGTCACGGCCAAGAGCAGTGACAATTGACGAAATCGGTCCTGGGCCTCCCCTAGTTTGACTCTGCCTCAAATAAGTACCCAGTGCAGTGTGTAAACATCGTTACTAGGGAGACAAAGGCGGCCGAGTGTGGTGCCGGTCACTCACCCCCTTGTCCGCCGTGCCGGGCTTCATAGGTGCTCACAGAGCACCTTCCCTGACAGTCTGTTAAGGCTACTTGGGGGATTTTTGTCTTTGGGTGGCGGCCGGGGTGACGCAGGCCTGCGTGTCGTCTCTGTCTCTGCTCTCAGCTGGAGCCCTCTCTCGTTGCCGTGGTGATCACGTGGGAGGGCAGCAACCCCGCTCTGCGCTCCGTGCTGCTGAACTCCCACACGGACGTGGTCCCTGCCTTCCAGGTCGCGCGGCCACTTTGTGGTGCTCGGCGCAGATCACCTGGGAAGCCTCACCGAGTCCCTGTTGCAGGAGGGTCTTGCCGAATCGTCGCCGTTGGGGGCAATGTTGCTGCTGCTGTGTGTGATCCCAACAGTAGGGGGCACAGGTGGTGCATCTGCCAGTCATCTCAGTAAACCCATGTGCGTGTGTTGAACTTCTTTCGCACCGTACGTAGCCAACAGTGCTAATCGGAGGTGCGGCACCTCGGTCTGTCCCGTGACCTCTCAGCGAGCCTTCGACACTTCACGTGACCTCAAAGTGCACCTGGCCTGACACAGGCGCCATGGTGACGTCACCGCCACTTGGCGGTAAATCGCTACTGTTGTTGATCCTAATTCAGTAGTTTCCAGGTACATTTTCGAGCAATGGGAAGTTGTTTGGCCAACACCAGTTACATTGTATGAGTTTTTTAGATCTGGGATGAAACCGGAGAACCCATAGGAATCCCATGCAAAACAAAGGGAGAACATTCAAACTCCAGCCAGAGGCACTGAAGTTGGCACTGCCCTCTCACCCTCGGCTTTATGTAAAGCATTCCAAGATGCAGGTCACTCCTTCCTCGTTGCTACATCAAAGTAAGCAAGCGGACACGAGGCCTTCACGGGATCTTTAACGTCTTAAAGCAGAGGGCGTGCGCGGAATTTTTCGGTGAATACTACTGCAGCATTAACCAGGGCAGCCTGCCGGATTCAAACAGCGAACCTCCACAACAAGCTGCACTGCCATGATGAGATTCTCGTTCCCGTCTCCAGGAGCATTGGCAGTACGACCCGTTCGAGGCGGTGAAGGACGCCGAGGGGAACATCTATGGCCGTGGAGCGCAGGACATGAAGAGCGTGGGCATCCAGTGAGTTCCCACTGCCCAAGCCGCCACGCGCTAATACATGACGTGCGCTCGCGTTGAATCACCGCTGCTGAAATGATGCACTCCCAGGAGGCTGCGTGACCCATGTGTCGATATGTGACGGAGGTAAATTTCCTGCTTAGTGGTTTTGTTCCGAGGCTTGGCTATCAGCTGGGCTGGTGAGGTTGAGGAGCTTCCATAGCCCATGGCCTCTTGTGCAGCATGGCCTATGAAGAGCGATCCTAAGCTAATCTATTTGGTTGCTTTGTCTGAGAGTTGAATTGCCGACCCAGCCACGATTCCACTCACCCACCTATTCCACCCACTATCCCACCCACCCAATATTCCACATACTCACTATCCTACCCACCCACCCACTATTCCACCTATCTACCCATGATCGCAGTTGGACGTGTGCGCCTCCCCTTGACCTCACAGCCTGGCTCGGTGAAGGAGCCTCTCGGTATGACTGCTCGCGGTTCCTGCCCCGTGGCTCCGTGTCTCTCTCCACCGGATAAGCACGTAGCGAGCAGATCCCCCAGCTGTGTTGGGAGGTTCGTCATTATTCTTGCGCTGTAGTCGGAGTGGACGTTTAACAAGCAAGGACATCGCTGCACGTGATGCGTAGTGGGCGCTGCCGAGTGACGACCTGGCTTGCGGCCGTGTGTGACGTGCATCCCCCGTCCGTTACCCACACTTGCAGCAATCGCCGCGGTCCACGCTGATGTGTTTCTCTGACTTGATTTTACCGGGAACGGTTTCTAAACATCATTTGTCCAAGGCAACTTTCGTGACAGGAAATACATTTTTCATTAAAATTGATTTATGTTTAAACTAGATTCGAAGCTTTCGTGACTGCAGGAATTACTCTTTGGTTCTTTCGGTAAAGTCACGTAGAAAATAAAATCAAACAATAATAGAATACGACGTTTCGATTGCAACACAAGCAACCATCATCAGGTAAGAATGAATGATAAACACAGACATGGAAACAACACAGCAGACACACATGCAGAGCGAGACACACACAAAGACACACCGAGCGAGACACACAGCAAGACAAACAGAAGGACAACGACTCTGTGCCGAGGCCTGTGTGATTTATGTTCGTGCGGTTGTTTTTTTAGCTGAATTTTTTTCTTGTTTTGCCATTATTTCTATTTGTCTCTGCGCATTAGTATGCTTATGTCGTTTTGGTGACCCCGCTCACTCTTGCAAATGATTCATCCTAGTCTCTTGAGTTCTCACCGGGTTACTCAACATCAACTTGGAACTCGCACAACCGAACAAGACCTGTGCCTCACGTGTTACCTGCAGATACGTCGAAGCGATCCGGAGACTGCGCGACGAGGGGAAGCGCTTCCCACGCACGCTGCACCTGCTGTTTGTCCCCGGTTGAGTCCCTCGCCACACGGTCACCGCTCCGCCCCGCGCTTGCTTCACCGTGCATGCAACCAGATTCAGGCAACCGCTGGGGCCACGGCTCATAACGCACGCCGTGCGCGGTGAGCCGTGGTCGACGGGAGCTGTGATTGATGTATGCCTTGTGGCCGTGTGCAGATGAGGAGGTCGGAGGATTTCGTGGGATGAGCCTCTTCGTTAAGAGCCCAGAGTTCAAAGCCTTGAACGTGGGATTTGTTCTGGACGAAGGTAGGGTTGAGATCTGTTTTGCTACTTGTGATGTTTCATCCGCTTTAGTAAAAGGAATTGGTGTAGTTTGTATGGGGCAGCGATGCAGCTCAACGTAATCGCATTCGCCATTTGTTGCAGAGGTCTGTGGCTCAAATTCGACACGCCACTGATTAACTCTGCGGGTGCATTAAGCTTCAAATACCCCACGCTGTCTGCTTCGCAGTGGACATTAAAGATCCCGTGACACCATTCGAAACGAGGAACCAATCGCATGCCGGCATCTCGGTCCAAATTTGAAAACCTACATCGCAAATTTTTCACTTGGTATTACAGCAGCAACATCGCCCCCTTCTGTGAACCACTGCAAACTGCGTCTTTACAGCGGCGCCTTCCTGCGATCAGATTGATGGCGCTCAGAGCAAATGTGCTGCTTAGTTCCATGGGAGGACATGGTTTTATGGGTAGTAAGTCTTAACACCACGTGCCTATCCCATATATTTTTAAGTTCATATTGCACAAACTTCGATGTCACAAATCACCTTTCCACATCTGTCCCTCCTCGTGTGCATGTGTTGTGCTGTCTGCGTGCGTGCGTGCATGTGGACGTGTATTTGTCGTGCTGCGCGCAGGCCTAGCCAATCCCACAGATGCGTACACCGTGTTCTACGGGGAGCGCAGCTGCTGGTGTGAGTAGCGTCACCGCACTCCACGCTCCTCACTCCCCGCCCAGCACACGCCGAGCGCCGTGCGGAGTGGGCGAGGCGGCGCTGGGGGAGATGACGTCAGAGTGACGGCGCCCGCCGACTGTGCGCGTGCTGCGTGCGGTGTGCGTGCGGTGTGCGTGCGCGGTGTATGACCGCCGCGTGTGCTTGTGCGTGTGGCGGCGCAGGGGTCACCGTGAAGTGCACTGGCCACCCGGGGCATGGCTCACGCTTCATCACCAACACTGCCGCCGAGAAACTGGTAACGGATTTTCTTCTCCATTGCCTCGGTTTTGTGAGTCAGCTGCTTGGCTTCTATGTGTGTGCTGCACGTGTAGGTACGATGTCACTGTCTAGAGGCACATCAAGCCATTACTTTACTCGTCATGTTCCGAGTCTGGGGGTAAGGTGGTAACACCACAGCCAGAAGCACCTGGGTTCGACTCCTGACATAGGTGCCTCTCTGTGTGGAGTTTGTGTGTTCTCTCTCCCCCTGTTCTGTGTGAGTTTCCTCTCATAGCTAAAAAACACCCACACAGTGTAACTATTACTGGGCAAAACATCCCAATGCAAAAAATTTTACTTTGGAATGATCACACACAGCAGCAGCAGCAACATCGCTCACCACTGCAAAAAACTTTGACAGGACCCTCCTGAAAAATAATATTTTAGGAGGCATTCCTGAGTAAAAAAAGCCGAGTATAAATAATATTTACAGAGCATTATGGGTTTCAGGGAATCGAGCAGACCTTCCTTGTCTGAGTTCCCATAAAAGTTCACAGGGGGTGTCAACTCGTCCCCTCTCAGCTTTGGGGCGAGCGTTCCCCAGCGGCATTTGTTCCCTCTGCTACCTGCCTTGGTGCGTGATCTGTGCATCGATGTTTTTCGTTCCAGCAAAAGATTATAAACTCCTTCCTGGGCTTCAGAGAAAAGGAGAAGGCAAGGTGATTGTGGCGTCGCGATCGCGCGAGGTACCCACTCGTCACCGCCCTCCACCGACGTGCAGCGCGATCGCTGGCATCGTCGAGAGCGTCAACAAGTTAGAGCGGTCTCCTGCGCGTGTCTGAAGGGAGGCTGCACGCACGTGCCGAGTGTGACCGCTATTAGCCAAACGTCTCCACTAGGGAAACATTTTCTGCAACCGCTGTCATTGCTCAACCCGAGCTGTTCATGCCTTTGATGTTTGCATTGCCTCTGTGCTGTTCGCCTGTTGGTGCGTTCTCTGGTCTTATACTGGTGGTGAGACAAGTCCGTAAAGGAGGCTGTCTCTGGTGTAGACCAATCGGTTTCAAAGACAATGCATACTTTATCAAATCATGTTTGCATGTTTTACCACAAGCATGTGTAGTTAATGCAAACTTGATGCCTTGCAATAGGTGTCCATTTGGTGTTTGAATATCTTAACACCTCCATTATTTCCAGAGAGTAAAGCCTATTCTTTTTTCATGATTTGATATCGGCAAAAAGGGTCCCATAGATATTCCCTGCACGTCACTCGAGTGGAGACACACATTCACGCGAGCATCGCCCCCTCCTGCGACAAACTTGGCAGGACCCTCCGGACACTCCTGAAATAGCCTTGAGACTCAGTGAGGCTTTCCTGAGTGGAATCATCGTAATTAAAACAAAATAATGATCCTCCATTCCATCAGCCACATGCCCTTTGGTCATTCCAACATTTCAGCAGCATCAGTTCAATACAAGCAAAACTCTGGACCAGTTTCAACATTCAGTGTCTCCTCAGCAGTCGGGCTCGTTTGAGCCGCTGCTTGTGAACTGCCCCCTGCAGCAGGCGAGGCCCTCTCTCAGGTCGACACCTTGGGTCCTGCTTGTGCCGCAGGCTGGACTGCAGTGCGTGCATGACGCTGGGCGATGTCACCACCGTGAACCTGACCATGGTGCATGGCGGAGTGCAGTACAACGTGGTGCCCGTGGAGCTGGCCGCCAGCTTCGATGTCCGTGTGCCTCCCACTATCGACCTGCAGGTCACGCGCGCCCTCACCCAGAGATCGTCGCCTCCTCAACCGCAGCACGTGTGCCAGTGTCGGTGTGTGTCAGTGTGCGTGTCAGAGTATGTCACCGTGTGTGGCAGTGTGGAAATGAGTGCGTGTCCCTTTGGATGTTGCTGAGCATCAGTAATGTGCCGGTGTGGAAGTCTGTGTGCCCGTTTGGATGTCAGTGTATGCCTGTGCGAGCATCGGTGTCTGTGTGTGCAGCTAACATCGGTGAACATCTAAAATGGTCCTGGTCTTCTCCTAGGGCGACTCAGCCTTAAATAAATACCATGTGCAGTAAATGGCTAACAGCACTTGCCTGAGCAGCCGGCGTGGGCGACACGGGGGACCTTTGTCTTTGCTTCGTTTGTGGTCCGACTCCGTGGCTGCACCGGAGTTCAACTCAATCAAAGTCTCCCAGTAGACAACGGTGGCCAGAGAGCGGTGACGGCAGTGCTGCTGCTGCTGTCCTGGGTAGACAATAACAATAACGAATAGCAATAATGCTGCTGTGGAGAGGTGCCAGAGCAAATGGCTGTGCCCGCGGTGCCCGCAGGCGTTCGAGCAGCAGCTGGAGAGCTGGTGCCGCGAGGCCGGGGACGGCGTCACCTACGAGTTTGCCCAGGTGAGCGCTGCCCTGCCACTCGGACCTCTCATGCTGGAGAGGCTGGTGCAGCTGGTGCGGCTGGGGAGGCTGGTGGGGCTGTCTGGCTGGTGGGGCTGTCTGGCTGGGTAGGCTGGTGGGGCTGGTGGGGCTGTCTGCCTGGTGGGGCTGGTGGGGCTGTCTGGCTGGTGGGGCTGGTGGGGCTGTCTGGCTGGTGGGGCTGGGGAGGCTGGTGGGGCTGGGTAGGCTGGTGGGGCTGTCTGGCTGGTGGGGCTGGTGGGGCTGTCTGGCTGGTGCTGGTGAAATTGGTGAAACTGGGCTGGGCAGGCTGGTGCGGCTGTGCGTCACGTGGTGCGTCGTGACGCCGTGTGGTGGTGCTCTGTTCACAGAAGGGAATGGACCAGAGTGTGACGTCTACGAGCGAGTCGGATCCCTGGTGGGGCGCCTTCTCTGCTGTCTGCCGCGACATGTGAGACGCGCGCCGATGCGCGCCACTGACACACCACTGACACGCCACTGACACGCCACTGACACGCGTGTTGTTGCGATCGTCGCTCCGCCACCGTGCCCCCTCCGCCATTGCATTCACAACACGGCGGCGCTTGCGACACACGGCACTCTGGTGGGGCACCGGTTGTCTGCGTGACGGCGCCCATTGCGATTGGTGACAGTGGGGAGTGGTGGCGCAGCGGTTAACGCTATGCTGTGCTACGAATCCGGCGACCCGAGTTTGATTCCCGTTCACGGCCAACACCAGTGACGATAATCTAAACCAGTCCTGGGCCTTCCGTAGGTTTCCTCAGCCTCAAATGAGTACCTGGTGCGGTGTGTAAACAAGACCACTGGGCGTGGCGCTGGCGACCCATCCCCTTATATGCCGTGCTGACCTTAATAGGTACTCGCTAACTGCACTTGCCCAAAGAGTCTGTTAAGGCTATTGGGGGGACATTTGTCTTTACTGTTAATGGTGACAATAGCAGCAGTTGTACTTCTCGACGTTGAGTGGAGAAGAACTACAACAGGTTTTTCATCTGTGCTCCAGTCAAGGCTGGGAAAGCCTATGGTGCTTGATGACGATATTAATACTGGTCTGCAGCCAAAATGCTTTCGAAATAAATGTAGTCTAACGTTACTATTTATGGGTCACTGAGAATGAAAATGTTGCTTAAAATTGATTGGCTCTAGTTTTAAAGATATGCTACTGGGTGAGTACATACGACACTTGACTTGGGATGGTGGAGAATAAGTGAGTTATACAGGGAAGGGATCTCAATTTCTCACAGCTCTCTCATTGACATGCTAATTTCTCTGCTCCAGCAGACCCACCTCTCTCTCTGCCCCACCCCACCTCTCTCTATTTAAGGCCACGACACAGAGACATTGGGTCTCTGTGTGTCTATGTTGTGTGTCTCTCTCTGTGTCTCTCTCTGTGTCTCTGTGTTGTCTCTCTCTGCTTGTCTGTCTGTGTGTCTCCGTGTCTGTGTTTTTTTTTCTCTCAAATGTAGTTCTACCTGATGAGGACTGCTTGTGCTGCAATCGAAACGTCGTATTCTGTTATTTAATTTATTTTCTTTCTACGTGACTTTACCGAAAGAAACAGAGTAATTCCTGCATTCACGAAAGCTTCAAATCAAGTTTGATTTGAAGGTTGTTGCTCTTTCGCTTGGTCTGCTGTATTCTCTGCGAATGGGATGGTCGTGCGAGAGATTCCCACTAAATCAAGATAGATTGGCCACTCCGACAGTCATTGGAGCCTGGGAGGAAAAGTGTTCAGCATCCACCACTTGTTGAATCAAGGAAGATTTTGTTACCACATTTACACATCAAGCTGGGTCTGATGAAGAAATTTGTCAAAGCCATGGACAAAACACAAGCAGCTTTCAAGTACCTCCATGGAACATTTCTAAGGTTAAGTGAGGCTAAGATAAAGGAAGGTGTCGTTGTTGGGTCCTCAGATTCGTGAACTTCTTCGAGATGATGCATTTGACAGTGCACTACCTGGCAAGGAAAAGACGGCATGGAAAGCCTTCCAGTTAGTGGCAACACATGTTCTCGGAAACAACAAGGCAGACGACTACAGGGAGTTGGTGGGAAATCTCAAGGCATACAAAAGCCTTGGTTGCAACATGCCACTAAAGATACATTGTTTGCACTTTCATCTCGATTTTTTCTCACCGAACTGCGGAGCAGTGAGCGACGAGCACGGCGAGCAATGTCACCAGGAGATTGCGACGATGGAGAAACGCTCTCAGGGCAAATGGAGCCCATCAATGCTTGCAGACTATGGCTGGACAGTGACAAGAGATGATCCAATACAAGAGACAAGCCAAGAAGCGCCGAGTAGACACTGAATAAGGACTAAACTATGTACTTATATATACATCATCTTTTTTGCTTTTTTAATCATAATACATTTTATTTATATAACCTTTTTGCTGAATTTCAAAGTGTTACATGAACAGGACAGGTGACATGTTATCATGTAAAGCAACCATAAACACATGAAAAGACCTAGGTTTACAACTTATGAGTAAAACTCTATCTACACAATATACATAGACATAAATGTGAAAACTTAAATATCTTGAGAACAGTAGCCAACCAGTTGTTTTGTCATTTGAATTCAGCATATCAAAATGCATAATAAACATCACATTGCATCTCTGAAGCAGACGTCTAAAAAATTGTAGACCTTTGTAATCGATTACGTTGGGTACTGGTGCCTTCATTCTCACAACGCAGGGCAATCGTCACGAGGGAAAGCACCGCTGTTTCACAGTCTGCAATAGTTCCCACACTCGGGCGATGTTTCTGCGACTGCAGGTGTGATCCAAATAGAGTAATTTGCGGTGTGATTTTTCAAATTGAGTAAATGTGGACCGTGACACCAACACACAATGGCTACTCTTTTCGAATGTGACGGGATCTTTCACATCTGCTGTAGAGCAGACAGCGCAGGTTTTACAGCGAATCCCCCTGCAGTGGTAACCAGAGTGGCCTGCTGGACTTGAGCCACGAACCTCTGCAACGAGCGGAGGGTGATGGTTCTAATCTGCGTGGGCCACGTGGGCCTCTCGTGCTGCCTCTGCACAGGAACCTGGACGTGAAGACAGAAATCTTCCCCGCCGCAACCGACAGCCGCTATCTGCGCGAGGTAGCACGACGCGTGACACCCCAGAGCCTGCTGAGGCTCCGTGCCGGGTCTCCTCCAGCGCGTTCACCCACGCCGAATCACCTTCAATACGCACGCAACACACCTCCCCGACGTACTCTCCCTCCACGTAAAAACTAAAGTCTTTTACACATCCCAACACCCCATCTCTTCTGTAGGCCATATCGTACCCGTTTAGACACCTCTGTGGCCAAACAGAAACTGCTTAGGCATGCGGTAGCTGGGCATGCGGGTTACGTGATCCAGCCAACGCAGCCTCACCTGCCGGAGGAGCCCACCGATGGGACTTTGGCCAGATCTTTCAAGGATTTCTGAGTTCCTCACACAATCCCCACAATTGAGTGATTTGTGGGTTATTTTTCAGCATTGGGATGTTGTTTAGCCAATACCAGTTACACTGTATGGGCTTTTACCCTATGGGAGAACAATGGAGAACCCGGAGGAAACCCATGCAGAATAGGGGGAAAGAGAACACACAAACTCCACACAGAAAGATTCCCAAATCCAGTAACTTCTCTCTGTGAAGCGCGAGTGACACCCAGTGCCGTGTGGTCTGCGCGTAGATTGGACTTCCGGCCATCGGCTTCTCTCCGATGAACCGCACACCCATCCTGCTCCACGACCACAACGAGTTTGTGAGCGAAGCCGTGTTCCTGCGTGGCATCGACGTGTACGCGGGCATCCTGCCAGCCCTGGCCAGCGTGCCCGCAGTCCCCGCCGAGCACTGATTGCCCGCCGGCTCCTCTACGCCACGCTTCCTAGATCAAACCTCGACCTGAAAGGCTGGAAACCCGTTGATACATTTCCTATATCAAACACTGCCTGAAACATTGAAACCTGTTCATACACTTCCTGTGTAAAACAATCTACCTGAAAACTCAGTTCCAGGACTCTAACTGAAGGAATCTGTAACCTGCAAAAAACATTTGTCTAGGATTGTCTCTAACTGAAGGAATCTGAAACAACCTGCTAATCACGATTGTCCAGGACTGTCTCTAACTGAAGGAATCTGAAACAACCTGCTAATCACGATTGTCCAGGACTGTCTCTAACTAAAGGAATCTGAAACTACCTGCTAATCACGATTGTCCAGGATTGTCTCTAACTGAAGGAATCTGAAACTACCTGCTAATCACGTTTCTTGACTCTATCTCTCTCTGCCTGAAAATTTAAATATAAAATATGATCACACACGAGCCAGTAATGTACCTTTAAAATGTAATGTACATCCTCGAAATTTGGAAAACACCATAACCAGTTAACCAATTTACTTGAAGCATGAAATGTCAACAATGTAAAATTACTTTCTGCCTTGACCTCGTAGATAACATTTGCAAACTTAAATGGCTATGGCCCAAAGCATGGCGTGTGTGTGCACAGCTGCATTCAATACACGTTGCAAACCTGCTCCTGGGTCCGTCTTTCTCTCCGTCTCCAAAATATTTCTAAACATTATTCCCCCGAAGTGTGACGAACATCTCTCCACTCCCGTCCGTCACTGATCGGCTCCTCGGGGCCCAGCAGACGCCCCAGCTCGGATCGACCTCCTTCCAACTCTGCTGAAGATGGCGCCTCGCGCGCTTTTTTCAGCAGTTTTACTTGATTCCTGTTTGTCGTGGTCAAATCTTGTAATCAACATTTAGTCTACTTCCTGATGTCCAATCAATTCCAAAGTTTGCACACGTACTCGGATGACAATGCACGCATGTATCAAAATCGGCATCAATTAATCAATTAATGAGCGACTTCAAAGCAATTTACATTTTGTTGCATATAGCAGCAGCGATGCTGTTGCTATAGGGCTATACCTAATAAATGAACTTGAACTTGATGTGATCCCGATTGAGTAATTTGCGGTGCCAGTTTTTTTGGCAAAATTAGACTGTGAAGCGGTCACACAGTAGCCTCATCGTTTCGAATGATGGCACGGGACTTTTAACATCTACTGTGAAGCAGACGGCACACGTGTTATACACTTAAGGTATTAACCGGGGTGGCCAGCCGGTGTCGAATCGTGAACCTCTGCAACACGCAATAAAGTGCGAACGCTGGGTCGCGTCTCCACGCCAGACTTTGTTGAAATAGCAACTCAGCAGATCCGCCAGTCACGCTGCGGCCTTAGCCGGAGAGCATGCATAATGGGCAACGTTTTGGGTCAACCCCCTACTTCAGAGCACACAAGGGCCAGACGCGGCGTCCGGATATCAACCATTTTAAGGCCGCAGTGTTGACTTGTTAATTTTAATCATTTGTTCTTGTGTGGCACTGTGAGTGCAGTATCAAAAACTGATGGCTGTTAAATGAAGTTATTGGTTTGAGACGAATGACATTTGAACGTGTTGCACTTCAATAAAAATGAATATCCACGTAGAAATCATCAAACTTGACACTTTTCTGAATGTGGACGATGGCGGTCGAGATGAAGGGATGGAGTGGAGGTGATGTTGGTGACGGTGGAGGGATAACACCTTCACCAATTGTTGTTTGAGCTTGTACAGCCCTTTGGGGTTAGGGACGTGTTTTTGTGGAAGGCACTGCGCATGAGCGATATCAGTGTCACCACCACCAAAGAACCCCCCCCCATCCGTGTTTACAGACTTTTGGGGCAAGCGCTATTAGCGAGCACCGCTGAAGGCCAGAATAGCAAACGAGGGGATGGAGAGTCACCACCACGCCCGGCCGCCTTTGTCTCCCGAGTGGCCGCACCAGGTACTCATTTGAGGCCCAGTTGACCTAGGGGATGCCCAGGATCGGTTCAATTAATCGTAATTGGTGTCGGATGTGATCGGGCTATGTGCGCTTTGAGGCCACGTGAAGCGTCGAAGGCCGGCTGGCAGGTCACGGGAAAGACCCAGGTGCCATGGGTTGACTGACAGACGCACCAGCTGTGCCCCCCACTACCGCCACAACCATCAACCGCCACAACCATCAACCACCACAACCATCAACCACCACAACCATCAACCACCACAACCATCAACCACCACAACCATCAACCACCACAACCATCAACCACCACAACCATCAACCACCACCTCTGGGGAGGAACCCGCGCGAGCACGTGGACACCAGCGACCGCGTGCGGCCTCGCGCATCACTGCGCATGCGCCACGCGTCCCGTGACGTCGCCACGTGGCGCGCGCCCCCTCCGAGCGTGAGCTGCGCCCCTCCCCTCAACCGCGTCAGTTGCGCATGCGCAGTGCGGTCCCAAGAGACGCGGACTGCCAACCATGGCGCAGCGAGAGCGGGTACGAGACGCTGATCCCCTCTCCCCACCCCCCCCCCCCCGTCTCTCTCTACCCCCCCCCGTCTCCATACCCCCCGTCTCTCTCTACCCCCTCTCTCCCCACACCCCCCCCGTCTCTATCTACCCCCCCCGTCTCCATACCCCCCCGTCTCCATACCCCCCGTCTCTCTCTACCCCCTCTCTCCCCACACCCCCCCCCGTCTCTCTCTACCCCCCCCGTCTCCATACCCCCCGTCTCCATACCCCCCGTCTCTCTCTACCCCCTCTCTCCCCACGCCCCCCCCCCCCGTCTCTCTCTACCCCCCCCCCGTCTCCATACCCCCCGTCTCTCTCTACCCCCTCTCTCCCCACACCCCCCCCCCGTCTCTTTTTTTTTTTTTTTTTTTTTTACGATCAGTGGAAACAAGAAGATGCTCGGTGTATTCGGCACTTTGTTTCGGTCATCATTTCGTAATTTTTTTTTTTTATTTTTTATTTTTTTTTTAAACGGGGCTTTATGTTGCCCTCGCTCGCTCGCTCTCTCGCTCACTCGCTCTCTCGCTCGCTCTCTCGCTCGCTCTCTCGCTCACTCTCTCGCTTGCTCGCTCTCTCGCTCTCTCTCACTCGCTCTCTCTCTCGCTCATTCTCTCGCTCACTCTCTCGTTATTTACGCCGCCCCCCTCGCAGTCCTATGGCCTCCGACGGGTAGCTCATAACAGCATGCAGAGCTCCCCGTCATCTGCCACGGAGCACACGGCCTCCTCCATCGCCCACTGCTCCTTGAAGGCCGGCACGGCGTGGGTCAGCCGCGCGTGGCGGAACTCCAGCCACACCCTGGCTCCGACCAGAGCGCGGAAGATGCCCAGGCTGCTGGCCGGACGTTTCCCCTCCAGGGCCACCTTCCTCGCCCTGTATATGGCGAGCTTGGCGTAGCCGACGAGCACGTTGACCAGCCCCTGGAGATGTTGGGGTCCGTCGCCCTTTCGGTATCCAAAGATGAGGACCGTCGGGGAGAAGTGGAGGCTGAACTTTAGGAGGATGTTTCTCAGGACCTTGAACAGCGAGTCCAGGCTCTTGCACTCCACGTATTGGTGCGCCACCGTCTCCACTTTTCCGCAGAACCCCCCTCTCTCTATACTCTCTTCTCCATACCCCCTCGCACACTCATTGACTCTCAACCACTAAGAACAAGGACCCCCCCCCCTGTGTCCGTGAACGGCTGTCGGGGCTAGTGCCGTGAGCGAGTAGCGCCGATGGAGGCCGGGTGGGTGGGTGGCTTGCACCTTGCCCAGCCGCTTTTGTCTCCCGATTAGCGACGTTTTACACATCGTACCAGACACTAATTTAAGGCCGAGTTGATCTAGGGGAGGCCCAGGACCAGTTCAGATCATCGTCGCTAGCGGAATCGAACTCGGGTCGCTGGGTTCGTTGCGAAGTTCGCTCCCCGCTGCCCCATCATCCACCCTTCTGCTGCCACACCACCAACCCCTACGGTCACCCCCCCCCCCCCCCCACGTGGCTTGGGTCCCTCCCGGGCTGCGGCGTCTCTCATCAGTCTCGCGGTGTTGCATTTACACGGGTTCGGGTTCGTTCCTGTGGCGTGATTATTGGTTTCTGTGTGTTTAGTGACGTCTGTTGCTGGTTCTTGTGACTTTGTTTCTGTGTTGTGTGACTTGTTCTCGTGCGGTGGTTCGTGTGTGACTTGTCCCCGCGCGGTGGTTCGTGTGTGACTTGTTCCCCGCGCGGTGGTTCGTGTGTGACTTGTTCCCGCGCGGTGGTTCGTGTGTGACTTGTTCCCGCGCGGTGGTTCGTGTGTGACTTGTTCCCGCCTGGTGGTTCGTGTGTGACTTGTTCCCGCGTGGTGGTTCGTGTGTGACTTGTTCCAGCGCGGTGGTTCGTGTGTGACTTGTTCCCGCGCGGTGGTTCGTGTGTGACTTGTTCCCGCGCGGTGGTTCGTGTGTGACTTGTTCCCGCGTGGTGGTTCGTGTGTGACTTGTTCCCGCGCGGTGGTTCGTGTGTGACTTGTTCCCGCGCGGTGGTTCGTGTGTGACTTGTTCCCGCCTGGTGGTTCGTTGTGTGACTTGTTCCCGCGTGGTGGTTCGTGTGTGACTTGTTCCCGCCCGGTGGTTCGTGTGTGACTTGTTCCCGCGCGGTGGTTCGTGTGTGACTTGTTCCCGCGCGGTGGTTCGTGTGTGACTTGTTCCCGCGCGGTGGTTCGTGTGTGACTTGTTCCCGCGCGGTGGTTCGTGTGTGACTTGTTCCCGCCTGGTGGTTCGTGTGTGACTTGTTCCCGCGTGGTGGTTCGTGTGTGACTTGTTCCCGCGTGGTGGTTCGTGTGTGACTTGTTCCCGCGTGGTGGTTCGTGTGTGACTTGTTCCCGCGTGGTGGTTCGTGTGTGACTTGTTCCCGCCCGGTGGTTCGTGTGTGACTTGTTCCCGCGGTGGTTCGGTGTGACTTGTTCCCGCGCGGTGGTTCGTGTGTGACTTGTTCCGCGCGTGGTTCGGTGTGACTTGTTCCCGCGCGGTGGTTCGTGTGTGACTTGTTCCCGCGCGGTGGTTCGTGTGTGACTTGTTCCCGCTGGTGGTTCGTGTGTGACTTGTTCCCGTGCGGTGGTTCGTGTGTGACTTGTTCCCGCGTGGTGGTTCGTGTGTGACTTGTTCCCGCGCGGTGGTTCGTGTGTGACTTGTTCCCGCGCGGTGGTTCGTGTGTGACTTGTTCCCGCCTGGTGGTTCGTGTGTGACTTGTTCCCGCGTGGTGGTTCGTGTGGTGACTTGTTCCCGCCTGGTGGTTCGTGTGTGACTTGTTCCCGCGTGGTGGTTCGTGTGTGACTTGTTCCCGCCTGGTGGTTCGTGTGTGACTTGTTCCCGCGTGGTGGTTCGTGTGTGACTTGTTCCCGCCCGGTGGTTCGTGTGTGACTTGTTCCCGCGCGGTGGTTCGTGTGTGACTTGTTCCCGCGCGGTGGTTCGTGTGTGACTTGTTCCCGCGCGGTGGTTCGTGTGTGACTTGTTCCCGCGCGGTGGTTCGTGTGTGACTTGTTCCCGCCTGGTGGTTCGTGTGTGACTTGTTCCCGTGCGGTGGTTCGTGTGTGACTTGTTCCCGCGTGGTGGTTCGTGTGTGACTTGTTCCCGCGCGGTGGTTCGTGTGTGACTTGTTCCCGCGCGGTGGTTCGTGTGTGACTTGTTCCCGCCTGGTGGTTCGTGTGTGACTTGTTCCCGCGTGGTGGTTCGTGTGTGACTTGTTCCCGCCTGGTGGTTCGTGTGTGACTTGTTCCCGCGTGGTGGTTCGTGTGTGACTTGTTCCCGCCTGGTGGTTCGTATGTGACTTGTTCCCGCCTGGTGGTTCGTGTGTGACTTGTTCCCGCGTGGTGGTTCGTGTGTGACTTGTTCCCGCGTGGTGGTTCGTGTGTGACTTGTTCCCGCGCGGTGGTTCGTGTGTGACTTGTTCCCGCGCGGTGGTTCGTGTGTGACTTGTTCCCGCCTGGTGGTTCGTGTGTGACTTGTTCCCGCGTGGTGGTTCGTGTGTGACTTGTTCCCGCCTGGTGGTTCGTGTGTGACTTGTTCCCGCCTGGTGGTTCGTGTGTGACTTGTTCCCGCGTGGTGGTTCGTGTGTGACTTGTTCCCGCGTGGTGGTTCGTGTGTGACTTGTTCCCGCGCGGTGGTTCGTGTGTGACTTGTTCCCGCGCGGTGGTTCGTGTGTGACTTGTTCCCGCCTGGTGGTTCGTGTGTGACTTGTTCCCGCGCGGTGGTTCGTGTGTGACTTGTTCCCGCCTGGTGGTTCGTGTGTGACTTGTTCCCGCGTGGTGGTTCGTGTGTGACTTGTTCCCGCGTGGTGGTTCGTGTGTGACTTGTTCCCGCGTGGTGGTTCGTGTGTGACTTGTTCCCGCGCGGTGGTTCGTGTGTGACTTGTTCCCGCGCGGTGGTTCGTGTGTGACTTGTTCCCGTGTGGTGGTTCGTGTGTGACTTGTTCCCGCCTGGTGGTTCGTGTGTGACTTGTTCCCGCGTGGTGGTTCGTGTGTGACTTGTTCCCGCCTGGTGGTTCGTATGTGACTTGTTCCCGCCTGGTGGTTCGTGTGTGACTTGTTCCCGCGTGGTGGTTCGTGTGTGACTTGTTCCCGCGTGGTGGTTCGTGTGTGACTTGTTCCCGCGCGGTGGTTCGT